AAATGTCATCGATGTATCTGAACCAGACAAGAGGTTGGTCAGCAGCTTCTCTCAAAAAGCGATCCTCAAGGGGACTCAAGTAGAGAAAACAGATCCTGCTGATCACTAGTTTATACCAGCCAATCTATTAGAGTGCTAACTAGTTTTATCATTTTAAAAAAAGCTTATTATTATTATTGTCATTAATACATATATTTTAATAAGGACGAAATATTTTACAATAAAGATCAATGTGCATACTAATTAGGACGTACTTTTCAACCACAATGTGTATTTTCACTTCAAACAGATAAAATATTTCTATATTGAGTACAAAAATCTCGACTTATTGATCTAAATAGAAAAGGGACATTTCCAAAAGGCCTTTTGGTCCACTTTGGTGCACCATACGTTTGTGAGTAGCATGGTTAAATATTTTGACTTGTCGTTTGTACTTTAACTCGCTTGCGGGCTCGTCAAAATACGACACGACTCGAAAAAGCAATCGGCGATACTACTCACCCTAAAACGTCTAATAAGATATACATCCTGTTGAAGTCAAGCACATAAAGTTGTGATATTTTATCTTTTATCAAAATCAAAGTCCCTCTATAGTTACTCATCAGTTTCTTTATGGCCAATCGGTGTTTGCTTTTGTTACCAACTGAATTTATCAACAGAGGAGTTATGTTGTGGCCTAAAAGTTTCACAGAAGGAGTTACATTTTAAAAATGCTCGTTAACAAATAATTAGATGAAAATCTAGAAACCAAAGGCATAAACACAAAAAGCAATTCTCATGCAGTACTTGAAAGGCTATAACAACAAACTTCCAGAATACCTAACAGGCACTGCTTTTAAAACTATTTCTTTGCCTCTCTTCTACCTTAGAATTGTTCACGACACTGCCACTCATTTCCATGCCCTCGGTCTCAGTCTCCTCGCTTGATTCGGCCTTGACGCAAGAAGCTCCTCCAAACATGATTTTAATCTTATCTCTGAATCTCCGGTTCACCAGACCATAAACAAACGGGTTGACGGCAGAGTTAAACATGATCATCGTGTTAGAAACAGAATACACCGCTGGACCAAAGCTCTCGGCGCTAAAGTGGCTCACGATGTAGACAATGGAATCTGTAATCCAACAGATCGCAAAGATAATGCTGACGACAAGGACGGACAAGGTGGCTCGCTTCCGTACCTTCTGCAGTCCCTTTTTACGAGAGAAATATTAAAAAATTGACAAAATCTCAATCTGTTACGTTCGTACTCAAAATACAATCATTATTTCGCAAAGGAAGCCTTAAAAGTCCCTATTCACCCCCAGAGGTTTATATATATTTCCATTCTTTGCATTATCAGGATTAATCTCAAAAAAATTGATTGATTAAATACTTCCCGAGATATGCTCCCTCAAAGTTCGTCCTTTGGCCACGCCCTTTGATTTGGCCGGGCGAAGTTAATACTGGTAACTTAAAATCCCTCATGACGTTACAGCCAGAACGTCTTTCGATCGATGTGCCTAAATTCACGGTATATTATGGAGGAATATGTCTTTAGACGAATCTGGTGTATTTGAGCAACCAGCGACCACGCGACGAGTCGGCATTTTCACATCAATACAGCAATAGACAAATGTTCTATTGCTGTATTGGTGTACAGACTTTGGATTCATGCTGACGTCATTGTTTACATTTTTGCTCATTTGCGTACGGCTTTGCGTAAAGAAGGAAGCATGTTAGATACAAATTGACTTGAGGCAGCTAAAGAGCTAGAAAACCTTAGTACATGGTGAAATATTTAGCTCTTTGGGTGTAATATTCAAGGGGAAATAGTCCATCAAAAACTGCAAAATTTCTGGGTGGCAAAAGAGCTAATGAGCTCATACATTCTATGTAAAATTTTGAGTTTTAAACCCGTGTTGCACAAAAAGTATTCAATGCATCAGGCTCGTATTCATTGGCCGAGTTAATCGCACTTTGAGCTTTCGATATTCAGAACTGATTTATTTTTAGCTCCATCAGAAACTGAATTGCTTATGCTAATGAGGCAAATATTGTAAACAAGGATTCCCCTATACAAGAAGTTCAACTTCGTTCTTGCTGTGACGTCACTGAATGTTGGAGAGGTAGTAGGTCCGAGACTTGGCCCAGTAGTTCTCTCTCGGGAAAGTCAAAAGAGCGTGGCCAAAAGAGTAACTTTGAGGCGGCATATCTCGGGAAACATTTAATCAATCGCAAATTTATTTTAGGAGATTAATCCTGATGACGCAAAGAATCGAAATAGATATAAACCTCTGGGAGTGAATAGGGACTTTAACAACTTATGATAAGTCTTGCATAATTCGGGCGTTACAAATAATTTTAATTCGTACCTTATGTCGATTCCCATGCTCACTGTCGTCAGGTGTATATTTAAACCAAAGTCTGTACACCACTCTTGAATACAGCACAACCATCACGGTCAGGGGAATGATTGCCATGACAACAAACCACGCAACATTGTAAGCCTGGGGCATCCATTTTTTTGGCCATATTCTTACACAGGCGCCAATCTTATCGTCAATGTCCACAACTAGGAACACTGGGAAGTTTACAATCAAGGAGAAAACCCAGGAACCAGGAATTAAAAACTGAAATGAAATTCAATACATGGTTAGATCGAACTTTTAGACATAGTCATACGAGTAACAGATCTCGTAAAGAAAAGGAAAATATTTGGTAACTCGTTTGTTGTTTTGTTTTTCCTAATAGTCCAATATGCCAAATCCGATATCAATTGACTGATGCCAAGAGAGGATCCTCTCTTGCTGATACTTATGATAATTGATTTTCATACGTCAGCCACCACGTAATTATTTCCAAATTCTAGTCACGAATTGACAAAAAAAATAGGAATCTCTCGACATAAGCCTACGAGAACTATTTAGGGATTGCAAACGTGGCCACATCACTCTACGGTAATTTTGTGCCCCTCACGGTGTAACAAAATTGCTAATTAAAAGTAGTATTGCTGAAGATTTTATTTTTACGATTCAATAATTTCTGGGGTATTCATCCTCCTTTGATATTTATTTCATTCATTTTAAAACCACTGGTGATCCTTGCAACCTGATTGGCCTCTCATCAGTGACATTTCTTTACAAGTTGCACCATTATGCTCTTAATCGCATCGTTTTCCCAGTCAATGTGGCGGCTTTACTTAAACACAACAATTTAAGTCTTGTTAAAGAATCTTAATCAAATTGCAGGAAAATTGGTTACAACTTTTGCACCTTTTTGCAAACCAGCTTAATATACTGAATCAATAATAATAATTTAATATTTATATTGCGCAAATGAACATGTGGATATGATCAAATACGCATCACAACACTTTTCGGGGCATCAGCAGTTTACAAACAACCGAAGGAAACTTATTTGAAGATGCCCCCTCCCCCCCAATTCCCAGTAAACAGGCCAGACCACATCGCAGTAATCTCTTTAACGTTCCCTGCCAAACCAAATTAACTAATTAATAGATGCAGGAGACGGGACCTACGGTTTATTCGTCCTTATCCGAGAAGACTAGAATGTCTATCCATTTCTTGATATTATAGAAAGGTAGCGCATTCTCCTCAGTTATTTTAAGACCTTGAGTGTTGGTCTGCACGGGGCTCGAACCATCGACCTCGACCTTACGCACAACAGTCTAGCGCTCTAACCAATTGAGCTAACCGGGAGGCGGTTATTTGTACAAATGAAAGGAAAAAAATTGCACAGATGGAAAGAAAAAAATTGCATTGAACGACTTAATTTTACGATTTCAGAATAGATGTAATTAAATGGTAATTAATTGGACTTTGTGTCGTGAAATCCTACTCGTGATTTCAGACCAAATTGCCCTCAACTCAGTTCAATTGCCTTTATCTATATTTTATATGGTCAATTATTTGTAAATAGAACTCCAATGACACTCAATTTGTCACTTGCCCTGAGTTTACGAGGAGTGAGCTTCCATCTGTTTCCATGAGGATATATCACCACACCATATCGTTCGATGGCAATGTTCACCAAGGTAAAGACAGAGGAAGCCGCCCCAACCCAGGCGAAGTTTCCACCTGTCAATAACTTGCACAAAAGTGTACCAGTCATCCCGCTGGGGTGGGAGAACGCATGGCTTAGCACGTATTGAGGAGTGATAAACGTCGCGAACATGATGTCTGCAGCTGCCAAGTTAACAAGGAGATAATTTATTGGAACCCTATGAAAGGAAGGAATAAGAGTCACGCGTGTCAGATAACCATAGATATCTGATCAAAAGATTCTTTGCAGAGATTATAAGGCTTATTTAAAGACTAGCTATTTAGCTAGCTTCCTTGAAAAACAATGAATGGATGTGTGTGTATTCTAAGACAATCAATTGCAATAGATTATCAATTACTCCATCATGCATGAACCAGTGGTTATGTGAGTGACTAATGTCTGACTATGAGATATAATAGACATAATAATCAAAGAGAGAACATCCATTCTTGCTATGTCAGAATGAACCACGTGTTATCAAAGAAATGCAAATAAAGAAACCTTAGCTTTTAATGTTTTTCGACCTGGTTTAGTCTTAAAAGGATGTTCCAGTAAAACTTGAACGATATTATTCGCCGGTCTCTTACTTAGGTTTTGCTATTGTACTCTCATATTTCCCAGGTAAACGCAATTTGTATGACTTACCTCATATCTCGGTATTTCATCATTACAACACAAACCAAAGAGTTTCCAATGATTCCTACCACAATGAGAAAGGCCAACACGACAGTGGTAGAGATATCCGCGGAGTCTGACATGGCTGATCAGTAGAACCTAATGATAATCCTTTAATTAAGATGATAAACGATTACGTTAGCTCCAACTAAATTTCAGACCACAATGGTTTGCTGCACTATCTTCGTCTGCACTGCAGGGGTCTACAAGCAACAGTCAGGGAGAACTTGTACTGAAGTAGATTTTCAAGTCAAACACTGGCTCTCTTTCTTTGTTGAGAGCCTGAACGAGACGAGCATTAATGACAACTAATCTATTATTTGTAAACGGCTTCACTCAAGCTCTATACAATATCAAGCTGAAAAATTTGCGGTAATTAAAGTGGTATATTGGCACCTACGGAAGTATACAATGAAATGAAAGTATCAGTAGTTTTACCTTTTACGAGAAAGTTCCTGCTAAATAAACAGCCATGATGTCGATGTCGATGTTCAGCCAGAAATCGGCAAGTATCATTTGACGCAAAACACTTTGTTATTCAATGCCACTGTATAAGTACGTCAACCACGCACATTGAAATTATGTAATATCGGTAATCGTCGTTGGTGAGTTGAGTACATTAGGCACTATATACACCCTAAGATACAAATTACTATGCGAAATTAAAATTGTAACAATCTGTAGTCATAACTTGTTTGGAACGAAGGATGTGGGAGCCGAGGAAACTTTATTGAATGATGCATTCGCATATGAGCTGTTGTCATCGTTCTAGAAATTTGATTGAGCTTTCCCAATATCACGAGTTGCCCTTGGACTGAACTACCACCGATAAACAGTACAATATAGAATCAATTTTGTGTCTCCCTTGTTTTCAAGGCGCTTGGAAAACAGATGATGGCTGGAAGCAAGAGATATCTCTGCATCGATATGATAATTCCATCGCGCTGACTCCAACGAAAAAGGCAACATTTACATACTTATTTGCAAGGTAGATTAGCCAAGATTCGACTTCCCTTTCGCTCTAGTCAACTGCTGTTTCTGAACACTGATCAGCTTTCGATAACTATGGAAATAACTCTTACGCCTACTCAAGCTTCTCTTAGAACTTTATCAGGAGAATCAGTCGTAAGAGTTGCTGGTCCCTTTCATGCGGCGAAATAAAGGAAATGCCAATTTAACCCAAGCTGTACTGGTAATATTTCCGATTACTTTTTTCAAGGATACCATCTAATTAGTCTATTAATGAGCCTTTTTCTCCCTGTAAGGAGTCTTTTGAGCGAGATTACATGAATAAAATTGTTTCTACTTTGGCTCGCGACGGTAGAAACCTAAGCGTAAACAACGTTACTGAGGTAAAGTAAACACAATTTTCATTTGAATTTATAACATGCTTCAGCTATCCTCTTTTTACAAGTCCCTTCAAGCTGCTGAATACGTAAAGGTTGTTAATGTGTTTACATAACTTGGTACAGTGTATTACTTTTCTTTTAGCTACCACGAGCAACATTTGTAAGTTGAAAGGCTGATGGCTTTAAGATAACTAAGACTTCTCCAAGTTGTCTGTAAGGATTTTCTGTTCTGTTGCAAAGCTAAAATTGGGATTGTTTTTCAAACTTTTGAAAGGGTAATATCTTATGATATTGTAAACTTGCTCGGTTTATTATTGGATTTCAACTTATTTGTTCAGTATTTTGTAACAGCTTATTTAAAGTAGCAAAGAGACACGAGGGTTTAAATACTCGCAATTCTTTTTTTAACAGATAGCTAGGTTAAAAATATAGGGAGTCTCTGAGGCAAAATAGTGCTAGGGTAGTTGAGCCATATGTTTATTTAGGTGTTTTTTGAAAGAAAGCCAGAGGATTCCAGTGAGAACTACATGGCTGCGTTTTGTGGCGATACCGTGGCGTTCAGCACTTCTTGAATTATGGCTTTTTCTCTCAGTTATCTTGCCTGTTTGTCAAGATGTTATCATCAGAGGCAATGACATGTAAAAATAAAAGGCAGTAGGTGAAATAAATTTAAGTGCACTTTCCGTCTGAGACAATTTACCTAAATCTAAGAATAATAGGTATCTTAGTCTAGTATCCAAGCAGAGACAGCTGTCATAAAATATTCCATTATAAATTTGAAACAGAAGAACCGAATAACAAGTCGTACTCCTCACCATTTTGAAAGGGTACTTACAATAAATGAAATATTTCAGTAAACGCCAGAAGTTTTCAGTGTGGGTAGAATAGTGAAACGCACTGAATATTGAAACGTCCCTACGGCGAAAATATTCATTGGACAAATACATGATGCATTGCCTTCATAAATGTTTTACCCTCGGTTCTTTTCATTGTATTGTCACTAATCAATGGCGGCAAGAATAAATTGTCTTCTATTTGGTGGAATAATTGCATTTTTTTTTATCCATTTACGTAAATAAAGGGGATTGGATAAACTTCTACTTTAAACTTAAAGTCTAATTATAACTGAACCAAACATTTGAAAAGACCCTTGTGAGAAGCTTTTCTCACATAGCAAGTTGAAAGGAGCGCTTCAAAACAGCTGCAAATACCCCATTTTTATTGGCAATTAAATTTGATTGTCTCACTACAATGAAAAAAAACAGGATTAATCCAGATAACAGTTGAAATGTCATGAGGAGTTGCATTTCACGTCAATCCAAAGTAATATTTTATTTATCTAGATGTTTTCTTGATATGCTTACGAGAGTCTCCAAATATCTCAGCCATGCTTTTGTTTTGTATAAAATGTCGGAGTTTTTTTAGGCTATCATAGAATTTTGACAACGTTGGTGTATCTTCTACTGCTATGAAATTGAAACAGAGCGTAAGTCTACTTCGACAATGTGAGTGAGATGTCTAAAACGCTGTCAGCAAGTCAGTAAGTTTTCCTTTGTTTAAGTTTACCTCTTAGATGGTAACCGGTTATCACCGGCATTCGATAGAATCTACGAAAATATAATTTTGTTTAAGCGAAGTTATACACCTTTGAGATAAACCTACGAAAATAATCACGAAACTACAAAATGCGCACGATAGCAGAAGATAAACATGCTGTAATTGGCTACGCTGTTGCGGTGTCCTTGCCATTTTATTTTTTTTATCTTGAGTGTTGCTGTTTGGCGAAGTTAATAAATAAACATGCTGGCGGCCTTTATGTCGATCGAAAATCCCCCATATTTCTATGTCATCAAACCTAATGGGCCCAGGATACTTGAACGAGACTTGTCAAAAGCCCAGTTCAATAGGTTGTCATCCCATTTAATTGATTGATTTTACTGCTACCATGTTCTGTTCTTTTATGTAGGCAGACCATCGACACGTTCAGATATGGCCATGCGATCAGTTCGATCTTGACGCAATGGCTATTGCTTGTGCGACGGTCCTTTACGTTCTTGTCGTCGTTATTATAACGGGCAATGCTATAATTTGCACGAACATACTGAGGAGTTCTAGAGGAGCTCTAGCGTCAATTATCCTTAAGATTCAGGCGACACAAGCAAAAGGTAAAATAAAAATACTGGTAAGTTTTTTGGATCAGAGTCACGATAAAGTTAGGTGTCAACTTTTCCTTTTGTGTTTCAACGAGGTCAACTCATCTTTGGGGAATGAATATGGAAATATCTCAGTACAGGGTCTTGACAGGTTTCGTTTCATTGTCTTTTTAATTTTATACTTTACGAGAGACTCCATATTTCAAGAAGACAGACAACTGCAAATCCTTTCTCAGTCTGAGTCAGTTAGAAAAAACGGACGGAAACCTGATCAGCATTTTAAATATTTATGTCATAGGTTTCTACGTGATAAAGTACTGACGCTATAAGTGTAACTTTTCCATTGTTTTAAAATGGCAAAACGATTAAGGATTTGTCTGTTATCATTATATTTTTAGTATGATCATGATATTTTTAGGGTAAACATCTAAATGTTTACCCATAAATATTTTATGGGTAAACATCTTCAGCTTGATGTCTACCCATCCTGAAGGAGTGACTAGTACAGTTATATGCAGGCTACTAACTGGAACAAACGTTGCATGGGTCAGAGCATCTTCGTCTGTTGTCACGGGTTTTCATCTCCATTGAGCGTTATGTTAAAGCAGTACATCCATATGGCGGAAAAGGAAAGCTTACCAATACCAAACTTAAGGTAACAGAACTACCCAGAAACTACTTTTTTATTGAGTTTCAAAAGAATCATGCTTAGTAATAAATAAAAAAAGATTAGCGTGAGGGAAATAATAGTCGGTTATGCCGGGGGGAATAAGCCAATTAAAATAAGCATTACACCTGTTATATAAAGTTTTCACATAAAAAACATAAATCCGAAGTCAAACGCATACAGTGCGTCATGATTTTACAAACGTTAAGAGGGTTCTTACGGCCGTTTCTATAAAATTATCAAAAAGCTCGTTACTCGTGTCGACAATTTAGTGGTGCGAGATGAGTACTAAGAAATTTAGAGGAAAAGAGGGGGATATTGGGCAATAACTTAAAGAATTTAGAGAAAAAACTAAACTAAAGGCCCACATGAATAATTTGGTTTCATTAACAATGTAGATAAAAGTCAGAAGGCTAACGTCAGAAACGTCAGCTTAAGAGATTCTCTTCAATATTACCTCGGTTGATAAAACCAAATTATCTTGTAATACCTCCACGAAAGCAACCATACAGTTTCACAGAAACCCTCCCCTTCAAACGCCCAAATACCTCGATATTCTAATTTGAAGAGAACATTTCGAAATACATTTGATAATAAATATTAGAAGAATAAAACTACGACGTTTCGAAGTCATCTTGACTCCATTACCAAGTAGGGGTGTTAGTTGTCGTTTCGAGATTAAATAAAAACAAAGGTGTAGAGTACATTAGAATAATAAGTCTTTCGTTGTCATTGGTGTTTGACGTATCAGTCCATGCGGTATATAAGTAAACACTTTTGCACGTATTGAGTCCGGCTGCGTGTTTAACTTCGGTTTCCGTTCAGGAATAAATGTCATTTCCTGAATAAGACAGTCCAGTTTTCCTCGGCATTTCTTAAGAACGGAAAACATTCCGGCTAGGTCAGTGAACGCTACACCGTGGACTTCCTTTATATGCCTGCCAATGACCGAGGCTTTATGCTCCTGTATGTGTTGGTGAAGATGGCGTGTGAGATAACCGATATAATCCGCATCGCACGAATCACATTTAAAATTGTAAACAACGCATTGGTGATTGATTAAGGCAGGTTTCTCCCCTTGTATCTTAAGCTTTTCCTCGATCTTGCGACTTGTGAGGACTGGTTGTAGGTTAGTTCCGATTTTTTGGCTAAGATCTTTCAACTGTTGTCTTGCTGTGTCGGCCGATTTTTGGTCTTTAAACGGCAAATTCTTTCTGATGGTTTTTTGTAAATCCGCGTCAGTTGCAGTTGGAGTTTAATGAAGGTCTTGGGGCGCAGAATTCTTGTACATGGCTTACTAAACGATGCCTTCATCAACGACACATCCAATTTCACCCCCATCAGCGTGGAAAGACCTAACATGCGAGGCCGGCCTCCTAAATATTACCATCCATTATTACAAAAAGAAAAACATCTTGCATCCGTCGTCACAAAAATCTTGCCAATGGAGTCAAGATGACTTCCAAACGTCTCAGTTCTATTATTCTAATATTCATTATCAAATGTACCTTGATATTGTCGAACAATAAGTCGTCACAAACAAGCGAAAACCATTGTTCTTCAATTCTGTACTGTTTTAGGCGACCTTCCTGTTGGATTCTTGCATTTACGTTAAATGTTCCAATTTTCTTGGAATTGAACTTCAAAAACACCATAGGTGATTGCGATGAAGACTGGCCGCAGGACCGGAGTGGATGGGCGTAGCCAATAGCTTGGTTTGGTTGGTGACTATGACTGTTCTCCCCCTGGTACTGATGATTGGATTTTACTCCAGAGTCGTGTGCTCATTGTGGTTCGCACAAGTTGATGATAATAAACTTTCACATCAACAGAGGGTAAGGAATTCTGACAAAGTCATCCCAAAGTCATCGTAGTTGACGACTAATCTTTTTAGCGAGTTAACGTTTTCGATTTGAGATACTATACGGCCATAGAACTCATTTTTCTTCACCCTTTCCTTAATTATGCAAAAAACTTCTATAATAGTCTTTAAATGTCAGTTGAAGCATTTGAACAACTTCATGATGTTTTGGCATTGGCTTATCATTAAATCACGACACAACATACGTTTCCTCTGAGAATTTTTACCACAAATCAAAAGTAAATTTCTTTGATTCTTGAAAAAAAGAAAAGAAAATCGCCTATCAAGGTCTAGCAAAGAGGACATAGTTCCATACTTGATATAAAATACACTATTTTATATCAAACATTCTTAATGAAGAACTCGACCTCTTCGCATAGGCTATGATCAAGTTGCGGAAGCGAGTCACAGCAATGGTTATAAGTATATCTTATTAGACGTTTTGTTGTGTAGTATCGCTGAGTATTTTTACGAGTTGTGCCGTATTTTGACGAGCCCGTAGGGCGAGTCAAAATACAAGTAACGAGTAAAAATACTCAGCGATACTACACAACAAAACGTCTAATAAGTTATTTATTATCCAACACGCCAAACTGTTATTTCAGTGCGGGCGAANTTAACCGGTACTACAATAGACGAGTACAAATACCGCGGGATATTTTTACTCTTCTATGGCGTTATTTGTACTCGTCTAGGTGTAGTTGGATAATAATTGTCAGCATCATATTTGGAATCTGTTGGCTTACCGACTCTACCCTTTACGTCCTTCACTTCATCAGTTCCCCCGTACAGTGATGTGGTTTTTGTTATTACCACCCTGCTGATCCTATTTAACTCTGCTGTAAACCCCTTTGTGCATGCCCTGGTGAACCAAATATTTCGTCAAAAAATCAAAGCGATGTTTCGCTGCACTTGCGTCGCTACAAACAGTATTGGCCCAATTAGTCAATCTCATTGGTAGAATCGTTTTGCCAACCATTGCCACCACTCTGAAAAACGTACAGGGCAAAGCCGATGCGGGAAAAAGTGATGACAGCAAGTGAAGGATAAAACATCAACGCGAACGTAAAGTTTCCAAACTTCATTTGTGCAGTAAACAGTTACAAAGACTCCATTAACTGCTTAGGATGTTTTAATGTTGCACAGCATTTCCCCTTGATTTCCCTTGTATGTTTATTGTAGATAGTAATACCAATAATAACAATAGTAATGATAATTATAATCATGGTGATGATTAAAAACATAACGACATACGAATGACATAATTATTATCAACTATAGGAAATCAGTTGTCAAGTACAAAATCATTTTCTATGTTTTTCTACGAATTTTGTCCTTAACTTCTTCCATAGCGTTTTCCGGATGGCTTTATTCTACGCTGTCATGGCTTCTAGCCAATTTAGCAAGTACTGTGAAATTGCGCAAGCAGATCTGGTTATTTGATTAGTAGAAAAACACAAACTTCTTACTGTTTAGACGATTCTGTGTTCTACCTTAGAGTGGTTGGTGGGTTTTACGGTTTTGTGTGCACTAAGTGATTGGTAACCTTTTTCCCACTCCCAAACCCTTTGTGGTATTGCTACTCACTGCATTACCTGCTGACTAATTTCCAGCTTCGGGGGCAGGACAAGTATAAAATCATACCCTTATAACTGGTCCTTTGCTATCACAACTTGAGTAATGGACGACTTGCATTAACAAAAGTTAACAATCATAGAGTAGAAATAAACCATAAATTAAATAAACTATTTCCAATCTGTTAGTTTCATTTCAACATCGTAATACTGAATACAGAAAATCTTTAAAAAATATCATCACTCGCTTTGCAATTTAGAAGCAAATATATCACTGCGAATAAAGCAACATGAAATGTGACGCGTAATCGTTTAAAATACTAATGACTTATGGACCTTTCTCCCTTTTGGCTAGTTATAACTTAAAGGCATATATAAATGCCTAAATATTGTCTAGCCTGGGTTGGGACACATTTTCAAAAGTGAAAAAGGGGATATTAGAAAATAGATCGTGCAGCACATGCCACACTTACTGTACTTCCTTAGAGACTCTCATCTCTATCAAACTGCTTTATGACTGAACCAAATGGAAAACTCCTGATTGATTGGAAAGAGTTACTTTACTCCAAGAAAGGAACAGATACAAGTATGCGAGTATTTTATGCGATCGAAACTGCTTAAGTAAGGCGCTCGCATTTCTCACAACGCGTATTTCCTCTGCATATAGGATGGTCGTGGTTGTCATTCATGATCATTCCTCGGCATTTTACACAAAGTTGAGACTCAAAAGCGGCGACTAATCGGATGATCTTTCTGCGTCGTTTCAGTTTTGATAAAATTACTGGACTTCAGTTTCTCAAGCCATCGTTTTGAGGCGGTAAGAGAAGCTCTTCCAGAGTTTCTATTTGCTTTTGGTACTGGAGATACAAGTTTACGCATGGTTATAGCAGAGGTAAGTTAGAACGAAAGGCAACATTTTGGGAACTGATGGAGTGTTTATTTTCATTATCATCATTATGATTATTATTATCATTAGTAATAGTAGTAGTATTGTTAGTACTATTATTCTTGATTTTCCCGCCATGTCTGACGCGCAGCCGGCGCAAATTTCCATAGGAAACCGCTGACGAATATCGAGCTTTTCTTTAGTCTTAGCAACACACTTGTAGTTAAGTTTCTCCCCTTAATGCCTAATAAGGCACCGTTTAATTAAAAAGCTTGGGGAAACTTTATACACATATTAGTTAAAAGGAGCGCTTTAAAACAGGTGCATTTACTCGATTTTTATTGGCTGTAAGTTTAAGGTTTTTTCATTTCAATCGACATCTACGATTAGTTCAGATGACGGTTAGAACGTACTGAGAAGTTGAATTTAACGTCAATTCAAAGGAATATTTCATTTACATCCACGATTGCCGGCTGGACTTGCATACGAGAGCTTCCTAAACTCTTAGCCTTTCACAGTTTTTGTACGACATCATGGTTTTCCCTTGCTATCTTAGTTTAAAATAACCTTGGCGTATCTCTAACTGCCGTCAAATTGAAACTGAGCGCAAGTTGGTACAGTTGAGGTGAGCCTATTGAAAACAGATGTTTAGTAACTAGTGCTTTGTTTCACCTCTGAAATGGACGAATTTACGTTCATGCTCATCACCAGATGAAAGGTTATTTCTGTTACTCAATTAAATCTAGGGCGTACCTATTTCTGCAGTAGACCTGGTGAAAGAACCACAGAATTACGAAATCAGCTAAGATATGCATGCAAGAAAAAATACTTTCCTGTCGACCGTCATGCGTCGTAAGTTGACATATCCTTATCCAAACAAACCTAACAAACCGAAAGTAATTGTTAATGGTCTACTCCATTTCTTTATTTCATCGCATCTCTTTTTTTACTGATATTATTCTTTTTTTCTTTCTTTTTCTAGGTGGACCATCGACCCTGTAAAATATGTCCATGCGATCGGTTTCCGACACATTAGCTACTGGTTTTGCGACGGTCCTTTCCCTTTTTGTGGCCATTGTAATAATGGGGAACTCTATTGTTTGCACGATCATACTGAAATATCGCGATATGAGGTAAAATATTCTTCCTATAGTGCTCTTGTGACTTTCTCGTATTTTTATCGATGGTAATATTCAGTGATCCCGACATCTCGAGTGAAAGTTAACTTAGCGAGGTTTTATCAGAATCCAACCAATTAGATTCCGATTAAACTCATGATAAATGGCTACCTGCGATGAATTACAGTTTATCCCAATCTGTCTTATGGTGAAGGCTAAAAGTTTCTAAAGAAACTGTGGTGCTGCGTCGGTGGGGGTAACAATGCAATTTGGTTATATCAACTCAGTTGAAATATGTAAATTGGCCACCATCGTTACGGTGGCTAATTTACATATTTCAACTGAGTTGATACAAGCAAATTACATTGTCTTATGGTGAATTCAGTTCTTCTTTTTGGAGAAACTTAATTTGATATTAAAAATTTTTATGCGTGTGTATGTTTGTTTCTTCACTTTACAAACTGGGAACGTACTATTCGGAGTCATTTGGAAAAACAATATATTTGCTTTAATTTTTTATGCCAAACGTAATATAATTTTAAAGAGCACTTTGGTGTAATTTTGTCAATTGCTTTAAAATCATGTAGCGATGCAGATCTTTTTGTCTTTATCTTTTAAACAAATCGGAAGTGGTTTAGCGTAGTCTGTATACTTATCGACAACGATGCACCTCGCGAGTTCGTAACATTTTGGACACTGTGATGACTAATACCTTTGTCGATAAGAGGAAAGACCACGCTAAACCACTGTCGATTTGTTTTTTACCACAATGTCGGTGCCCGACACGTTGCGTGACACGCTGAAGCGAACGGTGTTGTTTTTATTATTATTACATCCATTTTGAAATCACTGGTGGTCCCTGTAATCTGATTGGCTCTAATTGGTGCGATTTGTTCACGAATCGCACCATTTTTTGCCCTTATTTGCATCATTTTACGCTTGACTGAGTTTTTGACACATGACGTCAAAGTCTTTCTTGTTTGGCATACAAAATAAGATGTAAAAGCGTTTCCGGTTCCGCTTTTTATTTAAAAACCGGCTCAGTACTGCATCAATAAAATATTTGAAATGACCAAGTCCTGTATTTGGGCGATTTCAAAATGGATGTAATAAATTGGTAATTGAACCTCGTGTCGTGCAATTTTGGTCTGAAATCATACTTGTGATTTCAAATCATACAAGTGATTTCACAACTGCACTCCACTCAGTTCAATTACCCTTATTTATCGAAAACGGCAAATTGCCAATCAGATTGCGGCATTACTGCCGCTATCATCATCGTCATAATTATCATTTTCATCATTATTATTGTCATTACTGTTTTTGTCAAAACTATCATGATTTATATTGTTTGTTATTGTTGTTGTTAGTATCGTTGTTTGTCGTTCATTCTTGCGTGGTCTGTATCATTTTTACTTACGTTTTTGCGTTTGACTCCGATTCTACACTCCACAGAATTCCAATCAATTTTCTTCTTGTAAACCTGGCTGTTTCGGACATTATGACTGCAATATTTCTTGCACCACAGTACATCTTCAGTCTGATGTTTACCCACCCTGATGGAGTAACTGGCACAGTTCTATGCAGGCTACTAACTGGAGGAAACTTTGCATGGGTTGGAGCATCTTCGTCCATCTTCACTCTGGTTTTTATCTCCCTTGAACGATATTATGCAATAATATATCCATTTGGTGGAAAGGGAAAGCTTACCTATACCAAACTTAAGGTAACAGCAGCCTGGATACTTCCTTGTTAATCAATTTCTGTCAAAGCAGGCTGATAAATGGAAAATGCAACTAATCAGTATGAGAGAAATATGTCCGTTTTGCCGGAGGGAATCAGTAAATTAGAGTGCGTTCTGCATCGAATGTTTTCATTATACATAAACCCTACGTCAAACACCCGCAATGTAGCATGATTTACACAATTCTTAACTTACGTTTGAGAAAAAATGGGCTGAAATAGTTTTATTCAAGAATTTTGAAAAATTGCAGTAAAACGCGCACATATCTCGTCTATAGTCGTCACAAATAGGCTAAATCCCTTGTTCTTCAATTCTTTACTGTTTTAGGTGATTATTCCTTTCTGTTGGATTCTTGCATTTACCCTCAATATTCCAATTTTCTTGGTCATGAACTTCGAAAACACCATAGGTGACTGCCAGGAAGACTGGCCCAAGGAGTGGATGGGCGTAGCCAATAGCATGGGTTGGTTGGTGACTATGACAGTTCTCCCCCTGACGCTGATAATTGGGTTTTACTCCAGAGTCGTGTACTCTCTGTGGTTCACACGAGTTGATGATAATCAACTTTCACATCGACAGCGGGTGAGGAATTATGATTCAACGCACAACTTTGTGCTGCTCAATCCAAAGGGTGTGATTTTTAAATATGAGAGATTATAGAGACACTTAATTTCTACCATCCTCCTAATATTAATAACATATTATTGCAGTACATTATTTCCGTGTTTTTTTATCTATTTGAAGCATTTAAACGACGTCGTATGATTTTAACATTGATTTGTGATGGAATTAGAAAGCTACATATGCTCTCAAACTTCTCTTAAACTATTCACCTTGAACCAACAGTCGTTAAAAAAAAAAAGAAAACAAAACACGCCTGTAGTGTAAATTGCTGTTAATCTCCAAACACAGAGGGAAACAAGTCCTCCAGTAAGGCATTTTATGACGAGAGACAAACTGTCACACTTGCTAATTAAGTAAACAAATGATCACAGTTTATTACATAAACTGCAGTGTTTTACAAGGATTTCCAGCCCTAAGAAAAGCCGTAATTGCACACTTGTTAAATTACGATAACTTTTAAGTCTCTTTCAAATCGCCAATCAGCAATTGACGCACTCGCATTCTGCGCCACTCTGTCAGGTTGGTGATTGAATGACAAAACTTTCATCAGTTTTCAATCCAAGGTCTTTTTTCAAATGTTCTTGTCAGTAAAAGCATATGGTGTTTATTTAATGAACAAAACATGGAATTTCTTTTCTCGGTTTCGATTAGATATCTTTCCAGCTTACTGCGCTCACTCGTGAGCAATGAATTTGAACGCTAGCTATAGAAAAGAAATCCCATATCTAGCACACTCACGTATTACTCGTTATACAAAAAATCTCTTTCTGAGGTTCTCGATCTCCTCACATAGGCTTTGATCAAGTGTCGGAAGCGAGTCACCGCAATGGTAATAATTGTCAGCATCATATTTGGAATCTGTTGGTCTACCGACGCGGCATTTCATTTGTTACATTTCATCGGCTCCCCTCAGAGTGATGTAGTTTCTGCTATAACTACCATGCTGATCGTATTTAATTCTGCTGTCAACCCGTTTGTGTATGCCCTGGTGAACCAAAGATTTCGCCAAAAGATCAAAGCAATGTTTCGCTGTAATTGTGTTGCTACAAACAGGATTGGCCCCAATGTCCATCCCACTCGTAGAATCGTATTGCCAACCGTGGCTACCACTCCTCCAAACCTTCCCGTCGCAGTTATTGCAGGACAAAGTGATGTCAACAACTGATGGGGAACGCATCAACGAGAATGTTAGGTTTCCGAACTTCGCTCATATTGTAGACAAAAACTTTATATGTTACAAGGCAGACCTTAGTTAATGAAGATAACAATCGACAGCAATTAATCAGATAATCTCATGGCGTTCTATAAATTGTATAGGGTGTAGCAACAGAGCCTTTTCCCTTCAATTTGTAAAGTAAGCAGTGAGAATAACGATAACAGTAATAATCGTGATGACAGACAATAATGATGATGATGATGATGATGATGATGATGATGATGATAATGATGGTGATGGTGACGATAAAGCGCGTGAAGAATCAAGAACCGAACAGCAATTAATCATCAAGTTGGGGGCATAGAATTTTTTTTTTTTTTTGCTTTTGGAATCCTGATATCGCCAACTCTTTCCATCGTCTTTTAATAGCTCTATTCTACGCTGTGACAGTTTCTTGACAATATGGTAAAGTGCTGTGAGACTGCGTAAATAATTTTTATTACTTAGTGGGAATGCACTCTAAAACACCTCTTTTTTCAGTCCTATCTTAATGAAAAACACATTGCATTTATTACTCAGGCGATTCGGAAAACCCCTGATTAATAACCAGAGCACAAGCCATAAGAACATGCGTAGTTGACGATTTTATGTGGGCGTGATAAATAGCCCATTTGCGAATTACCCTTGGCCTCATTTTCAAAACGAGTCCTCGTGCTCAACCAATCTTGTGAAAATGAGTTTAATTTGCATATGAATGGAAACTTATTATCATATGAAAGGATTAGCACGAGGACTCCTTTTGAAAATGAGGCCAAGGGTAATTCGCAATTGAGCTATTAAATAGCTATCATCCGTCCCAGGCCATTCACGGCTATGGCGATCATTAATTTAGCGCACACAATACTGCAGCTAACGCAGACTTGAACAATTTTTTTAGACCTATGCCTCGTGAACTTTTCTCCCTTGCAGCTAATTGTAACCTGACTGAACACTGATGAGCTTGGTTTCATATTGAAATTAATCGTCTATGGAGAAACTCAACCTCAGCAGATACTTGATTGGGTTACCGCCCTTGAGGAATGATTCTAGGTCAGCAGGTGCAGAGCTCTCGAAATGAAAAGATGGCGTAAAGGAATGATAGCATCTGGCATATGCTTACCCAATTGTTTATTCTATCCTACCCTGGGGAATACCGCGATAACTTAAGCAAGCGGTAAACGTTCTTCGACGTTGTAAGGGGGGTCATCCCCTCAGATGTATATATCCGTGTGAATAGCCTCTGAAACAGAAGGTGTAGCTCGCAGAAGGTTCACTTTGTTCTTGCATTTTTTTATCATAACGCGAAACGTTATTGTCAGCATGATCATATTGCGACATGAAGAACACCATTTAATGGCCTTAAATGCGAATTCCTTGTTCTTGCGATAACACATTTCTTAAATGTGCCAGTCAAAACTGTTGAAACCTATCCAAGCACAGCCGGTGCCATGTGATGCATGATGCATGATGCTCCGTATGGTAATGCGTATTCTGGCGTGATGTTCGACAAGTTTAGGACTTGGAAGGCTCACGTGGACTATGTGTGTGGAAGGTGGCGTCAAGAGTTAGTATTCTGGGCCGTACTAGAAGTTTCGTCACAAAAGAGGCAGCAACACTTGTTCGTAATGCTTTAATTCTTCCCTTATTTGATTACTGTGACATTGCCTGGAGTAACCTTCTACAGCAAGATATAGATCCACTACAGCGCTTACAAAATAGATCTGCACAGATTATAACACGTTTCTCTCGCTCATCTGAAGCAATAGAGCAGCTGCAATGGCCGAATCTTTCCAGTAGACGCTATTACCACAAGGCTAAACTCGTTTTTCTCTGTCTTCACTCATTAGTTCCTAGTTACTTTTCATCATATTTTACCAGATTTTCGAATATTCACAACTATTCCACAAGGCAAAGTATGAGGCTATCCCTACCAAAAGTAAAACAAAATTCTGAGAAAAGGACCTTTCTTTTTACTGGTGCAGAAATCTTTAATAAACTCCCTTTAAACATTGTGAAGAGTGAAAACATTCAAACGTTCTGCCGCAGAGCAAGACATTTCTTTTCATCTTAACTTTGACATTTTACCTACTATTTTAGGTCTTAAGAGAGGCCGCCAGAATATTTCGAGAATCGAAAATCAGCGACGAAAACCTAATTTTTTTTTATTTTGCCAAAACATCCTTTTCTGTGAACTAGTTTTGAAAAAAATATTTTAAAGTTCCAGCAGTTTTTTTTTCGGCTGAAAATTTAAAAGGTTTGAAAAAAAGTTAAGAAAGCCGTTTTCGCCTTGCCTAAACGGTCAAATTGTCACGCAGCTTTAGGAAGATGTTGGCAGTGCAAAGAAAGTCTATTCACCATCAAACTTTGTACAATAATTACAATATCACTGCAAAGTGAAAGCATATGGTGTGCTCAGTTGTTCTCTTTGGCACCCCATGGTTTGAATAAAAGAAAGGAATTTCATTCGAAAAATAGAATTTCCTATAATCAATTTTCCATCTTAGATTAGGCGCTACTAATTGATCGTTTAAAGGCACTTTACTTGGATTTTGTCGGCCCTTTAGGTGTGGATTGGACTCAGAGGCCCTGCCAAGGGATCTTATTATGATTAGTATCATTTAAGGGCCCCTCCAGGGATTTTGTCGCTAATTTTCCCTTTCGGGCCCTAAAGGCCTTATTTTGGGATTTTGTTACGGTTTACAGTTGTAGTAAAAAGTGGGCCTTCCCTTTTTTAATGCTCGCCGCATTGCTTCATTGCAATTGGTTACGCCACTCATATTAACATATTTAGTATTCTTATCTCWTAGTTTTTAGGGTTTGTTTCTTGTATTTTGTCCATTGCTTTCTTTGTAATTAGGTTTTTTGTTTATTAGCACCAGTTCATTAGTCGTTATCTGTAATTGCGTAATCATGAGCACTTCGATCCTATTTAATGCTCTTTTTTTTATTTCAAAAGTTGTAAATAACTGAAGAAGGTATCTGACTGAAACATTTTTTTTTTTAATTTTTTTATATTTTTTACGTCAGAAGTTGTCCATCCTCGCAAATTTTTTAAGCTTTCTATATGTATATACATATTATATATCGCGCAAGTCGTTAATGAAACTCTCAGGCCAACAAAGGTGCACCGCGCGATTCGCAGTCCAAACCTCACAGCCAACACGAACGTAGAAAGTTTGCAAAATTGCGAGGATGGACAAATTCTGACGTAAAAAATATAAAAAATGTTATATATATTATATATAAAATTATATATATTATTATATAAAATTATATATATATATATAATTGAAGTTCTTGATGTAAATTATTTTTAAGAAATAGGGCCCCTATGGATATCAGCCTTAGAGCTGAATGGGCTACCCTGTGTGAATAAATCGTTACTTTACTTTACTTATTGAAAACCTCGATCCCTTCGCACAGGCTGTGATCAAGTTGCTGAAGCGATTCACTGCAATGGTAATAATTGTCAGCATCATATTTGGAGTCTTTTGATCTACCGACTCGACCTTTCATGTCCTTTACTTCATCAGCTCCCCGTACAGTGATGTCGTTTTTGCTGACCCTGCTGATCCTATTTAACTCTGCTGTAAACCCGTTTGTATATGCCCTGGTGAACCAAAGATTTCGTCAAAAAATCAAAGCAGTGTTTCGCTGCAGTTGCGTCGCCACAAACAGTATTGGCCCCAATGTCAATCCCATTGGTAGGATCGTATTGCCAACCATTACCACCACTCTCACGAATCTACAGGGCAAAGCCGATGCGGGAAAAAGTGATGACAGCAATTAAAGAATAAAACATCAACGTGAACGCAAAGTTTCCGAACTTCACTTGTACAGCAGTAAACAGCTATAAAGACTGTATGAATTGCTTACGGCTGTTGTAATGTCGTACAGCATTTCCTCTTGACTGTATATGTTTTGTAGATAGTAATAACAATGATAGTAATAATGATGATAATAAAAATCATGATCATGATAAAGCACATAAAGACATACGAATGACATAATTACTATGAACTATGAAAATTAAATCGTCAGGTAAAAACTTTTTTCTGTCTTTGAATTTTATCCTTAACTTCTTCCATTGGTTTGATTCTCCCACCTTGTTTCCCGCCATGTTTGATGCGCAGTCACGGCCGGCAGAAATTTCCATAGGAAATCATTGACTAATATTGAGCTTTCCTGTATTCTTAGCAACAGACTTGTAGTTAAGTTTCTCCCCCTAAATGCCTAGTTATAGAGGACCATTAATTTAAGAAGCTTGAGGAAACTTCATACCCATAATGAATCAAAAGGCGCCCCTTAAAGCAGGTGCATTTACTTGATCTTTATTGACTGTAATTTTGTTTGTCTTCATTTCAATCGACAACTACGATTAGTTCAGATGATTGTTAGAACATATTGGGGAGTTGAATTTAACGTCAGTTCCAAGGAATATTACATTTACATTGACGTTTGCAGGCTAGACTTGCATACCAAAACTTCCTAACGTCTTACCCTGTCATATTTTTTATACAATCTCATGGGTTTGTAATGCTATCGTCGTTTCAAATAACCTTGGCGAATCTTTAACTGCTGTGGATTTGAAAGAGAGCGCAAGTCTGCACAGACGAGGTTAGTTAAAAGGTTTGAAAACAGATGTTCAATCACTAATGCTTTGTTTCACCTCTCAAGTAGAAGTTTTCACGTCTTTTATGCTCATGCAATAGGAAAGGTTATTACCGTTACTCAGCTGAATCTACGGAGGATCTACCTCAGTCTGCAGTAGACCTGGTGAAACAACCATGAAATTACGAAATGTGCATGTTAAATAAAAAACTACTTTGCTGTTGGCTTCTCACGTCCTAAGTTAACATATCCTTATCCAAACAAACCGAACAGATCGAAGGTAGTTGTTAATGGCCTAATTCATTTGTTTATTTCATCGCATTTCTTTTTTAATTTATATTATCGTTATTTTTTTCTCTTTTCTAGGTGAACCATCGACCCCATGAAATATGGCCATGCGATCAATTTCTGACGCAACAGCTATTGCTTGTGCGACGGTCCTTTCCGTTTTCATGATAGTTGTTATAATGGGGAGCTCTATTTTTTTGTACGATCGTACTGAAATATCGCGATATGAGGTAAAATATTCTTCCCACAGTGCTTTTGTGACTTTCTCGTCATTCCATTGATCGGGGACATCCCGTGTAAATGATATCGTAGCCAGGTTTTATCAGTGTCGTGAGTCCGCAACATTCTGACCACTGTAATGACGAAATATCGTTGTCGATAACAGCACAGACCGCGCTGAACCACTGTAGATTTGTTTTTTACCACAATATCGACGTCAAATAAAACGATTCTTTCAATGCATGATACGTTGCGTGACAGGTTGACGCGAACGGCGTCTTTTGCACTCTTATCGACAAAGGCAAATTGGCCAGTCAGAATGCGACATTACTGCCAACTGTGGTAAAAATCATTATCGTCACTAGCAACATCATCATTATCACTGTCATCACTATTACTGTTATCATTATCATTATTTTTATCGTTTGCTGTTGTGGTTATTGTTATTATCATTGTTTTTCGTTTAATCTTACATGGTCTGTGTCCATTTTTAACTACATTTTTGCGTTAACATTTTATACTCTGCGGAAATCCAATAAATTTTCTTCTTATAGGCCTGGCTGTTTCGGATATTATGATGGCAATATTTTTTCCACCAGAGTACATCTTCAGCCCTATGTTTACCCATCCTGATGGAGTGACCGGTACAGTTCTATGCAAGCTACTGACTGGAGAAAATTTTGCTTGGGTCGGAGCATATTCGTCCACCTTCACTCTGGTTTTTATCTCCTTTGAACGCTATAATGCAATAACATATCCATGTGGTGGAAAGGGAAAGCTTACTAATACCAAACTTAAGGTAAAAGCTGCCAGGGAGACTTCCTTGTTTTCTACTTTAGTGTAAAATCACGATGAGTAAAATAAAAGCAACTAATCAGCAAGAGGGAAACAACAATCCGCTTTGCCGGAGATAATTAGTCAATACGAGTGCGCTTTGAGTCGAATGCAAACACCTGTCTCATAAAGTTTTCAATACACATAAATCCCACGTCACCAGTCATATAGAGTGTTAATTTCACATAAATCACGCGCCAAACACCTACAAGGTATCCCGATTTACTTACGTTTTGACTTCAGTCCAAGAACTTGAAAATGGGCTGAGAACAGTTTTCAAGAATTTCGAATAATTATAGTAAACAACCTCGTATATCGATTTTCATCGATTAGCCGTCACCAACTGGCTAAAACCCTTGTTTTTTAATTCTTTACTGTGCTAGGTGATTATTCCTGTCTGTTGGATTCTTGCTTTTTCCTTCAATATACCACTTTTCCTGGCCATAAACTTCACAAACACTATAGGCGACTGCGAGGAAGACTGGCTTCAGGAGTGGATGGGTACAGCCAATAGCATGGTTTGGTTGAGGGCTTTTACAGTTCTTCTCTTAACACTGATGACTGGATTTTACTCTAGAGTCATGTACTCGCTGTGGTTCACACAAGTTGATGATAATCAACTTTCTCATCGGCAGAGGGTGAGAAATTTTTGCAAAGTTAATACGAGAGTTACAATTCTTATTTCCCACTAGCCTCTCAATACTGTAACCGTTATGTGACATAATAAAATAACATTGCAAAATATTGCAGTGCATCAAATCCCAAAGTTTTCTACTGTTTGAGGCATTCGAACAGCCTCGTGACATTTTAGCGCTAAGTTGTGGTTAATCAAATAAGAACACCACATCTGCTCTTAAATTCTCTCTATATGACTAGTACTATTTACCTCAAACAATGGTCATTAAAAATTCAAAACACACCTGTAACGCGAATTACTTTAAAACTTCAAATACAGACAAAAAATAATAATTTAGTAAAGCTGCATATTGCTTCCTATGGTAATGCGTATCCGGTCATCTTCTTCGCCCGGGAAAGACCAGCAGGGTATAAACAAAATATCACCATCCGCAGTGGAAGTCGCTGCGTCGTGTGACGCGCGATAACACTTCATTTATTATTAACACTTATTTATTATTAACACTTATTTATTATTAACACTTATTTATTATTAACATTTATTATTAACACTTCATTTATTAATGGTGTTTCCACCAATATGAATAACAACCTCCAATATGATCCAAAAAAAGTTGAACAAAGCAGCCGACCGAATAAGCATTAATAACTTTGTCGAATTCTAAATAAATTTTGACTAGGCCGCCCACCCAACTTTTTTTTATAATCCATAAAAGGAAGTTGGATGAACGCACGCATACAAAAAAGCAGTTAATCAAGTAACCACCTCAAAGTTCAACTACTAGTTGACACTAATGGCGGTGAAAGGATCACATAATAATCTTAATAGCCCAATCTGTTTTCCTTCTTTGACATTAATTAATTATATTGTATTATGGTTCTAGTTCAAAGATGATGTATGCTCGGCATACGGTCGAAATACTTTTTGCATATGGAAGCATGCCATGACGAATGATCGTATTATGTAAACTAAAGAGGAATCCTAAAAGTTCTGAGGCATCTATTGTGCGGGATTTACACAAAAAGGAGGTTGAGACTGGTAAGGTGTAAAGAATCTTCTGTTTCGCCACAGTTTCGAACTAAAAGGCTTTCATCGGTAATTTCTAAAGCGGAGGTTATCATGACACTCAAATGTGGCGCAAAATTAATTTTACAGTCGCTCAGTCAAGCATGAAACATTTAAGCCTATAAATTGAAAATACCATTTAATGTAAATACCACTTTTTGTGTACTTTGTATTGGAAGGATCGTCAAACTCTTTAGAGATGTCCATGCGTTCAACCTCAGAAACAGCTGCTTTTGCCTGTATCGCAGTTCTCTCTGCCCTTGTCATTATCGTCGTGTTAGGAAACGTTTTGGTGTGCACAATAATTATGAAACATCGGGATATGAGGTAAGTAATTAGCGAGCGGTTTTCTCATTGTTCAAACTGATTCTTCACTAATGAAAAAACATACCGCGGAGCTGAATTCTTTGTGAAGCGTGTTGAATGACACGAACACCGAGCCTGATAAAATATAAAATCTGGGATTGTTCGGTTTCTGCAATGGAGCGCTACATTTCATGACATTCATTGTGCGTTTTTCTTTTATTAATATTCAGCCATAATTTGTTCTTTTAAAAGTCTTGAGTTTTTCACAATTCCTTCACGTAAACAGAAAATTTCGCACAAGAAGGGTATACTAGCATTAAGCAGTCAGTTGAAGCACCTGACAGTTTAACTTGAGCATATTTCATGCATTCTTTTAAATGTTTTTGTTACAGTTTTCAACCATAATTTTCAAATATGATTCTCTGTCGGATTTTTTACATTTCATTTTGTTCTCATCAGTAGAATGCTTCATATTCGTTTGAAAATTAATTTATAGTTTCTTCATTGCATGTAATAAACCTTCATCAAGGGAGAAAGAAAAGAAATTAATTGACATATTGATTTGCAAATTTAGATTAAAACTTTCTTTAATATCAATAGAAAACAAAGTTATAATAACCCCTTAAATAAACCTTTGATAATAACGGCTGATAGTTTCTAAAGAAACTGTTTGGGGCTGCGTCGGTGGGGGTAACGAAATAATTTGGATAGTCAACAAAGTTGAAATGATAAATTGGCCACCGTTACGATTACAAGAGCTGACGTTTCGAGCGTTAGCCCTTTCGTCGGATCGAATAGAGGAATTGTGGGTTGTGTGTGCTTTTAAAGGCAGAAAACGGAGCTACGTTGATAATAAACGATGTTTTTTATGATTTCGCAGAAATCCTATAAACTTTCTACTCGTAAACCTGGCTATCTCAGACATCGTTATTGCAATCTTCATCATACCCGACTTCATCCTGAGCCGCACATTTACCCATCCTGACGGAGCTACCGGTTCAGTTCTTTGCCGCCTACTAACTGGCGGAAACTTCTCATGGGTTGGAGCTGCTTCATCGGTCTTTACCTTGATGGTGATATCCGTTGAACGCTATCATGCAGTATTGCATCCTTTTGGCAACAGATGGAAACTTAGTTATCACAAACTGAAGGTAAATTTGTTTTTGAGCGCAGGTGTTTTCCAAGATTTGCATGCGCATATATAGTCTAGAATTTAGCTATAAAAATTGGTGGAAGAATTCCTCTCATTAGACAAAAAATAGTGAAGAAAATGGTGAATATGATGAACGTTGATGGAGAACTTCCAAAGAATTAAACTTATTGGTAGCATTGCTGCCTAACTTTTTGGGTCTAGGAATAATTCTTTTACCGAGGTAGTGTTTTCTCTGTTTTGACAGAGAATATAAATAAATATACTTAAAAACATTAGAAATTAACACAATTTTCTATGGGAAAGTTGAGATTATAGATCACCAGACAAGCCCTGAAAGTTATGATGAAGTCAGCGTTCCCTCATATGCTAATAACGTTTTTGAAAGAATATCGCAGCCACGTCATTTTAATCTGTTTCACCTGCACCCAGGCAAAAATGTAAACATAGACAAAATGATGAAGACCTCTGATGAAGAAGGGGGCGAGGAAAGAGTGGATTGAGGGAAAGGGCTTGGAGATGATGTGGCTCGATTCTTAAATTAAGCATGACACCATTATTCCTTCATTTTTGTTGCTTTTATCAGTTTTGGTGCGTTTCTTTCCTATATAGGTAATTATTCCAAGCTGTTGGATCTTTGCAGTGATAATGATTCTACCAACGTTTCTTAGTGTTGACTTAAATAAGACTGCGCGCGACTGCGAAGAATACTGGCCTTCAAAGTGGATGGGTATAGCATATAGCATAACTTTGTTCTTAATCTTGGCCGCACTTCCTTTGGCATTGATGACCGGTTTATATTCAAGAGTGGTGCACGCTTTGTGGTTAAAAAGAAATGACCACACTCAGCTCTCTCTTCAACAACAGGTAAGAGCTGATTGTGTGACTCTTTGAATTTAACAGCGTTGGTAAATTTCCCCACTCGATTAAATCTCTCAGTAGATTCTCGGGTCATGACTGATCACTGAATTTAGCGCGCCTTATTTCACTGTAGAGCCTGCCAAATTTAAAGTTTTTTTTTTTTTTAATTGAAATCTTCTCCCTCCATCCGAACCCAGAAATATGATGTATCCTCGTCTAATCAGTCTGTACTATGCAACTGTATATGCGAGCGGAAAAAGCTCGCTTTGATTAAAAGAACGGACCGACGAAATGAGGTTAATAAGGAGTATATAAAAGAACTGTACTGTTACTAAAAAATGGATCCATTTTGAATCACCTAACTGTCATTAGGTGTGTTTGTCTAATCTCGACACCAAGCGATTAAAGCTTCTTAAAAATTGACGATGGGCTATGTATCGTGATGTGGTTTGTTTATCTGCTGGCTTTGTTTTTCTGTTTTGTTTCTTTGCTTCCACTCAGCATTGCTGTTCGCAACTCTAAGAAGTATTGAGTTATTTTTCAGTTAAACTTTCTTTGTAAAGGGTGTCATGAAAGTACGAAGGCGGGTCACTTTGACGGTGACAATTGTCAGTGCCAGTTTTGGAATCTGTTGGATCACGGACTCGACCATTTTTTTCCTGCATCATGTCAGTTCACCTTACAGTGACGTCACTTTTGCTATCGGCGCGATAATGATCCTGTTCAATTCTGCTCTCAACCCGTTTGTGTACGCTCTGACCAACCGAAGATTCAACCAGAAGATTAAGGCCATGTTGCGCCATAGTGTTTTCCAAGGGAACAAAGTTCATCCAAGTGAGGAACATATCAGCTGCAAAGAATTAACAGATGGAAACAATACGCCGCGTTCATTGAGATTTCCAGCTTTGTGCGATTAACTTCTTGAACGCAATTGTAGGTCGCTAAATCAACCAGCGCTACGTAAAGCTTAATTCATCCGAGTAACCTTTGGAGATACTAAGTCTTGCTTTCATGCAAAAGTGATCGAGCCTATCCCACAATGGTGATTTCAAAAATAAAAAAAAAAACATATTAATAAGTAACAAAACAAAGAACATAAAATAAAATGCATGATGATTCTCCCTAAAAAATAAATCCGAAAAGGGAACAACTGGACGCCTAACACAGTTTTGTACCTTTATGACGAGTGATTCAATGTTGTGCAGTGACATAAACTCCGCAATGACTATTGCTAACTTGTAGGTAAAATGAACTGAATATCAACATTTACGGTGAAGAATAAGAAACTGGCAAAAAAAGGCAATTTCCATGGGACGGTATAATGTCCCATAGCCTTAACGTCATCACTACTAAAACGCAAATCTCATGCAAGCCATGACGACATAAACTATCGTTAACTAAAAAATAAGAAAAGTGGATCAATCAATTCAAATATTTCCAAGCCATTGCGCGTATTAATTTCGGCATCGTTAAACTGGATAGAGTGAAATATCTCGCCTAGCACTTAAGTATTAGACCTATATTCGCGAATAAGTCTACCCCATTGTACACCTCGATAGAACATCTTTAGAAGTGGATCATAATATTTAAAACATCTTGAATTGTATGAATTTAAACAACCGCCCTTTACATTCGATGATATGGCAAATGTATCAAATAAATACCTGAGCTTTTTGAACCTGGCTGGACGATTTGTCTTGTTAGTTGCCCAAAGATAGCCCTACTTTACCTGGAGAGTAACCCTAAACTAATAGAAAGAGCTGTCCTCTTCCACGCTGAAAGAGCCTTTACCAAACGGTGGAAAGCACCCAGAAAGAAAATGGGCTCTTTCAACGGACGTCATATTCAGTATCTCTCATGGTAACCTACGTCACCCACGTAGGGAATCTCATCTCTCTAAATGATGATGATGATGATGAAACTTTATTTATGTGTCTGTTAGGGATCTAGCTCCTGACTAGCAAGGTGCTAATTGGTGACACAGTATAGCTATACAATAAACGTTATCTTAAGATGTACTAATTAATACACTAACAAAAACAGTTTATGGCAAGAAAAAAGGGAGTAAAAAAAAGGGGGGATTTCTCGTTACTCCTTCGAAAACTTAATGTAACTCTAATCTTTCTGACTCGTACCTTTCGTTTTGAATTCACCTATATAGTGAGTGCTCCAAAGTATCACCACAAAAAAACGGCAACGATGAATTCTTATTTCAATCACTTTTTCTATAATTCTTAAATCAAACGAGAAGAAAGTGGACAAAATAACTGGGGATAGAAACACAGGTTGTGAGAAAATATTGACAAGTTCTATGAAATTTTGCCAGTTCCGTACTTATCACGATTAACCTCTCTGATGATTTCCTAAAGCTACAAACCTTCAAAATTTCAACACTTTAACATTCTCGCAAAATTTATTACAAGACGACAATTATCGTGGCAGTGATTTTGCAAGCTCATTATCTCGATAAATCACATCACGAAGCCTCTTGCTGCAATGTTTGTTGCAACTGCACTACCTCCGTGGTGTAAGTGGCGTCTTGGGTGTTATCCTGTCCCGGTATAAAGGCATCCACCTTCGCTCTGCACAAACCAGGGCAGCATATCAGTTCCTTGATATGCTGTCTGAAGCGATGATTAGCGATAACATATATGAGTGGGTTAATGGCGGAGTTAGCAGTTACCACGGCAACGGATATGATATGCAGTAAATCGCTGTGATACGGGGTGTGACTGAAGTAGCTGATGACGTACATTGTTTGGGCGGGAGTTCTGCAAACGGCAAAGACCACGCTAACTGTGAAGACCATTTTGGTGATTCTTCTTCGAATCCTCAACACTCCCTGTAAATATGAAATTGGCGATATGGGTGTAAAAGAAATTGGTAACATCGATAACATTTGCTGTTCTCGATCTAATGATATCCCCATCTAAGCTTGCCGATTCTAAGCTTATGTTTCCCTGACAACCCTCATTCTTAAGAAAGAGAGACTAACATTTTTTAGTTACATCGTGTCTGTAATGGACGAAGTATTTATACCAGATAAACCTTCTGTCGTTTCTATTCAGGAGAAAGACATAACAAAGACGCTGATTCTTCTAATTTAACTCCAGCAATAACAACACAGGAAAAGTTCGCTGATGCTCTCTCAACAGGGCTGGTTTGTCAATGAATAAAAAACAATTGCATCGGCTTTCGTTCATTTTTTTAGTTAGTCTACGGAAACAGAAAACATTTAAAGAACCAAGTGCTTGCCTGTCGAGTGCTGTCGCCATCGTCCTCATCCAGAAACCAAAGCTGATACACGACTCTTGCAGAGAGTCCGATCATCAGGAAAATGGGAAGATAACCGGTCACCAGAAGCCATATCATGCTGCTAGACTTTGCCATCCATTCCTCTGGCCAATTATCCATACATATCTTATGCTTTATGCTGTAGTGGTCGGTCAACAGCAGAGGTAAATTGAACAGGATTGCAAACAGCCAAATTACTGGGACAATGATCTGCAAGGAAGTCGTGAACGTTGGAGCAAGAAACTTGACCAATATGAATTGGGAAACATTAGAAGGAAGAAAGCCAAATTATGAAACATGCTGTGAAAGGAGAGACGACACGTCAACTGGCTCTTGTTATCTCTGATCTTCGCGAGCCTTGGAAAAGCTGCATTCCGCCGATTAGTAGATATGTCTTATTAAACGTTTTGCTGTGTAGTATCGCTGAGTATTTTTACGAGTTGTGTATGTTTACTCAGCGATACTACACAGTAAAACGTTTAATAGGAGATTTATTACAAAACACACAATATTGTTATTTCAGTGCGGGCAAATTTCTAACCGGTTCTCTGGAGTAAAAATACCGCGTGATATTTGTACACGATTCGCGCGTTATTTGTAGTCTACGAAGCACAGTTCAATAACAGGGATAGATAATTCTGCAACCTCATTAATTTCTACTGCGTCACTCAAGGGATAAAATCGCCATTTATGTTTAGCTTCTCGGTTATTGATAGTTAACTTCTCGGTTATCTATGATTAGCTTCTCGGCAAACGAAGGCTGCACGAGGGCGTTCCACTCTAAGAAGCTCGCGAGAAGACAGCAAGCCCGTCATTTTCCCATTGTTTATTCAACTGTTTAAAGTCGGAAAAGTTAACGTCACCCTCGCACCCCTGTAGTGTATCTTTTCAAGATAAGATTTTCTTCGTATTTTTTGGCTGTTTTTCTTTTTTTTTTTAAGTATTTATTTATTTTTCGGCATTACTGTTTTCGATTTTGCCTTTTTCATACCTCCACCTTTGCAGCGGTCAACTGTGTGCCTTGCGGGTTCATGATTGCATAATATCTTTCCAAAGCTACAACAGCCAATGTAAATGCAGAAGCAACTGCCCCGATCCAAGACAAATTGCCACCTATCAGCAGCTGACAAATAACTGTACCAGTCATTCCATCAGGTAGCGTGTATGTATCAAAGAGCACAAACCGAGGAACGATGAAAAGAGCAACCAAAATGTCTGCTACTGCCAGGTTCATGATTAGATAATTCATTGGGATTCTGAAAAAATTAAATCAAAGTTGATGAACTTTTGATTTCTGGGTGTTAAGATGCAACGTAAGCCCATTTAACCACAGACTTCTTTTTGCAAAGATCCAGTACGGTTTATCAGTTAGTACGTATAAGTACTCTCTCGTACTATGATAAAAAGCCATAAAATCGACAAGAATTAATGTAAAAGACACACTGAATAATAACGAGAAAAAGGCTTGAAAGGAGTCACCTTTGTTCCTGTCTTCCCGCCAACTAAAATCTGGATAAGCATGAAATTTCAAATCACTTTCATTTCAGCCTAACTTTAAATCCTTTATGCGGTGAGCGTAGATGATTTTAGACAAGCACCATTACCAGTGGCGTCTGACTCACCTCATGTCCTTAAATTTAACAATCAGCACACAAACAATCACGTTGCCGATGATGTCGATGGCAGTGAGCATTGAGAACATTGTGGCCAGGCCGATCTTGGCAGCTTTTGACTCTGTGTAATACCACATCATGTAAGTCTGGAATTTACAAAAAAAGCAGCTTAATGAGAACTTGGATCTTTTTACACTATTGGAGCATACTAACGATAGTTGGGACACTTATCAGCATCAACGCAACGTTTTCTGTTGAGTCACAGCTCAAATTTTCCCTTTTGGAGTAAGAAATCTCTTTAATTTCTAAAAAGTGAGTTCCTGGCAATGAAACGAACATAATGAAGGCCACCTCCATGTAGTAAAACTGACTGGGTTGTGCAGCAGTGCAATTCTTGAAAATTTACGATTTAAGCAATTTGAAATGGGGAAAATGACAAATGTGCTCCATTTTTACGAAAGAGTCGTTCAGTAGTCGAAATTTCCGTAAAAATATAAAGACGGCAGTCTTTCTCAGTCTTTCTCTTTCAACAAAATATTTAGTTAAACATTTGTACTAACCTCCGAAATGTTACTTGTCAAGATTATCAAAGGGAAGAACCACAGGTCTAACATGAATCAATACTGAGTCATTCTCTAGAAGGTGACTTCGTAATGACACAGGAACTATCACTACCTCGTACAGTTTTTCATTTGACCACGCAGGATGTACCAGTTCAGAAAACTCTTCAGATATTCTCAAAGTTTGACATTTACAATTATTGCGGTTTGCTTTACAATGCTGAGTGATACTTTTCCGCCTCTTCCTTCGTAGAGATATTCACCTCCTATTTATTGAGGAAGATCATACGGGCCTAGAAAACAAACGATCCAATCGCAAAGAAACAATTAAATGGTCTCGAGGTAAGTTAAGTTAAGTTACGTTTCGCTTTCACGAGAAAATTACATTTTTTCTTGAATTATTGCCAGACTTTCTTAAGCAAACAAAGGTAAAGTAAAGGTTCTTGAGTGAGGAAATTGACTGAACTCAATAGTCATCGTAATAAAAAGTAATAATGGCAAATACCCGACTTAGTTTAAGAGGCTTCTCAGAGAAAAAATATAGAATCTATAGTTTCCACAGAAATAAGACTTAACCTTTACAGATAGAGAGCTGAGTCACTTTTGGTAATAAAAATTTGTCACAAGAACACTTTAATTACAACGCACCTTTTCGCCTGAGAAGAGGGAAAATCAAGGTCCAGTGATTAGGGAGCTTTAGCAACGACGACGGCGACGGCAACGAAAACGTCTTGTCGAAATCTAACTCTTCGTTTTTGTAACTCTTTCGAGGTTATTCCGATGTGTTTCACTTGGAAAATGCTGGCGAACCATTAAGGAACTATATCACTACCAATGGCGCTAAAGTGAGGAGAGAGAAAGAAAAATTAACCGTCATGCGCTCACGTTCTCAAGAAAACCTAAAGTTTGGTTATTTCACGTTGTTGTTTTGCCGAGAACGGCAAAGAAATGTACCAAAATGTTAAACGCACGTGCAGGGCGATTGTTTTTGCTCATTAAGCCTATTGTTTTCTGCCGTTCTCGTTCCCGTCGCCGTCGTCGTTGCTAAAGCTCCCTATTATCCCTGGTCGACGCGGCATGCTCCCAGCAACCACGACGTTGGCTCAATCTTCTCTTTGCCCTCGCGTTTTGTCTTCACTACAGCACGGGCTATCGTTCCTCGACATAACCAAATTTCAACTCGGCGGTCGCTATTTCATTTTGTCTTTGTTACATTTTAATTTTGATTTTTTTGCTTCTATGTTTATTTTGATTTTTTGTTTTTATGTTTATTTTCTATGTGTTTGCCATTTTTTTGTTTTGTTTTCTAGCGAGGCAAAATAAATATACATCTGTTGTAGATCGAACTGCCTTTCATTAAAGAATTCTATAGACCACTTTCATAAATGGCTGCCGGATTAAAATTCTTTTATTTACATATAAATTTGCTTGGGTGGCAAGCGAGGCCACTCGGGCAAATTTAAATTTAAACAAAAGAATATTAATCGGGCAGCCATTTATGAAAGTGGTCTATAGTTTGGTCAAACAGAACATCTCTCTCCATTGCTATAAATGATGGGCATTCATTTTACATGTGGTAGATTCTTTGGCATCGGTGCTGACATAGATCCGGGAATATATTCATAATAATTCGGGTCGTTATCTTCAATTAGGAACAATAAATTCAAGACTACCAAATGACCATAACCATTTTACCTCTTTATTACACGTCTGTACATGATTTTCATATTACGGCAAGTTGAAAAAAACCCACCAATACCATCTAATCTATCCCGTCTAATTTCAATCGTAAATGTTGATATATTTTATATAAGGTAACATTATTGCACGCAAACTTATTTTAACGACATTACACTATAGCACGTCCATCTAATTAATGGAAATCGTGCCTAGTAACATCACTAGCCATCAATCTTATTTTACATAATTATATAGGTAGACATTGTTTTAAATTTAACGATGCTACATAATTCACATGCATATAATTAAAATGTTACCTCCTCTACGTCCACGAAAGGAAACCTTTAAAATGACATTAAATAGGATGTCATTTGTTACTGACAAAGTCATACTAAGAAATAGCAAACTTTACGTTAACTTTGTTATTCCTATCTCCCCTTTTTTTTATTAATACATTTTTCATAAGCTAACGAGCCTCATGGTATCCTCTAAATATAAATGTATTTACGTGGCTACATAAGAACACTTCTGTTCTTTAAAACGGCTTTGCTTTAGATATTTATTTTTTCTCACTGTTCGGGAGAAATTCAATCAGTCGTTTCAATGATACAAGGGCCCCTTTTGCCTCAGTGACGTTTCCAAACAAATTTTTAACTTAAGGTAAACAATTTCGCTTTAAGGTTGTATTATCTGTAATAGTATGGCAGTATCACAGTTTTTATACTATTTATTCTAACCATTCTGATCAACCTGTAAAGCATAGCACAGTGATTCACCGTTCTTTAAGATTATACGACACGGCCGGATTCTTAGGGTACGCTATAGCTAGAACACATTAAATACACTTAACAGATCGGTCCGCGCGTCAAAGATTTCCTCGCAATGCAAATATTGATTTATGAAAAGAAAGCTTCTATTCGATGTCACACTCGTTTGAAGTCAAATTTCAGATGTTTGGCATTGTCAGCTAAACAAATAAAAAAATTAAGATAAGTTATTCCTTTCCGCTCTCCCTGAGTAAAGACTTGAATCTAATTTCAAAGCGTGTAATAGTTGCAAAGGCAATTTGTCATCGTCCGTCTACATCACGTATCTTTCTCAAACAGCACTTTCTTGCTTTTGTTTTCAATTGCTCTTACAATAAAATTTTGCGAGAATTAAAACTACCTCTGATCTAATCTCTTGTATCCGCCAGCAGTACAGAAACGGGTTAAGGGCCGAGTTAGCGAATAACAAAGTTATCGTATAACTTAAGACGACAACTTTCATTTTGGTTATGGGCGTCGTTTGTATGACGACGAACATGGCTAGATATGGAACATAGCAAACAAACATTAAAATATAGACATAAAACATGTTAACCACAGATCTTTTGTATGCTCCATATCGCGGTTTCGATTTGGAGCCACCCGAGCTGCTTTTCTCTTCTTGGTAAGTCGTTGATTCGGCGTCCTTCCATCGCGACGCGGTGCGAACTCTTAGTTGGCGAAGCCTGTAGCCAAGTCGGGCATACGCACTTGTACAGAAAACCAAACATATTGTGACAATAGTTATATTAAACTTTTCGTACAGTTTAATATCCCATATCCAGTTGAAAACCCACAAACCAGTTAGCATCCACATTGTGACAATGACTGTTATTACCCTGGGAAGTGTTATGGTTCTCTGATATTTGGACCCAAGGTGAAGAGCCAGAAGGCGATCGGTAGCTATAGCTGTCACCGTCAGAAATGAAACGGCAGAGAAAACGTTCGCTGACAAATGGAATCCAATTCCTGTTACGCAGTAGAACCGATGCATGTCCAATATTTCAGCCGTTTTGTACATCACGTAAAATGGCTGAACTGTTAATCCAACAAGGAAATCAGAGGCGGCAAGGCTGTAAACCAGAGCTCTCGATGCTGGTCGAAGCGCCGCGGATCTCCGCAGCGCCTGAAGGACGATTCCATTTCCGAGAATGGCCAAAATTGCCAATACTGTGTTTAACGTACAGTTAACGATGTATTGTGTTGTAGGTGGACCGCTATGGAAAATTTGAAACCGATCCAGGTAATAGCAGCTTTTTCCTGCTACATCCGAAGAATTGATAAAGGGTGGCACGAATGTTGAGTTGTCCTCCATCATTTAAGGTTTTGCCTCACCTGCAGTTACAAATCACTGACTCTGATCAATGTGATCAAATAAATATATGATTCCATTTTTTTGATCCGGAGCTATACAGCTGCGTTGTATCCACACATTTTTTTTTTGTCATACATCAATGTCCTTCCGATGCGAGGCAAACATTTCATAATATATTATTTGTGTTTGAGAGATTCTCAAGTTGCAGATTAACATAAATGGTACCAAGGGCATAATACAGAGGAAATGTTTTATTGCCTCACACAGTTTCCATAACAGTTCGAATTGTTCAGTTAAAGCGTGACTTATAAAGATAAGTTTCCTTGAACGCCTCGCAATTTGGACAGCTTTTTTAACACAAAAAATGTCAGGTCATTCTTACATTTTAGATTTAAATTTAATGTATGTCGAAATTCTTGACGCGTTTTTGTAATAAAAATTGACTGAAGATAAAAGAAACGCCGTGTTTCTTTTGTGATAAATGAATACACAATTTCCTAGCCATCGTTACTGAAACTTTAATTTCAATTGATACTCCCTAAAAAATAATGTTAAAAAAAATAATTATTCGTATAACCAACAACGTACTATATATGCATAAGTGTTTGACACGCCAAAACTCGTTTTCAAAATGCTTTACTTGTAAGTTTTTTCGCTGAAAGCTTTGGAATTGCTTGAAACGTTAACTAATCTGAAAAATATTGAATTTGTCAGGATCAGTGATAAATATTGTATTATGACCTAATCGGAAGCACTATTGCAGGAACAGTAATAAGGTAAATAATGCTCACAGGAAATTGCTCGTATAACAACGACAGCCTTTTGTTTGTTTATTTGTCCCTTTTTGTGTCATTATCCTATGTCGCTTTTTTATCCTTACATCCAATTGTTTACCTTTTCTCCGCTCAGCTACTCAATAAAACTTTGGTTTCAGTTTCATTCATATAGAGTTGCATTCTCAAAAATATTTTAAAAAAATGTCGTAAGTGCAAGCTACCGGGGCCAATATCATGATATCAACCATAATGGCAAATCTATATTTCAACAGAACTTCCTTCCTCGCTGCACGTTTTTCACAGTTACGCTGCACGGTTATTCTTCCATTTCTTTCAGGATCTCCGGGTTTAATGTTTATAAACATTTTTTGCGACAACATTTAGCCAATGAAAAACACACGGAAAATGTACTAAATTCGTAGGTACTTTTTCATTTCGTCTCTTTTCTCTTTCATTTAATGATTCCCTTCTTTCCTTTAACAATTTTGGCATTGCTTACATGTTCCTCAACATTATGCTATTTAATTTCATTTGACCGGAAAAATCTCTGAAACACGTACGAAATACCATGCGTTACCTACTATTGAGTATTACCCAAAAATTCCCGATCTCGTACAAAAAATCTGTTACAAAAAAAATACAAATTAATCCAACAAGGCTACTGATAAAAGTATTAAGAACATTTTATTTAAATTAGTAAATGGTTCCCAGGCAAAAAACTCGATAAAAATGTTTACTGGTGGTAACATTGACTTTCGGTCAAATTAAACATGTGGTCAGTGTTTGTTTGACGCAATAAAACTAAAATATTTACACTGAGTTTTGTTTCATTCTCACGATCCTTATGGTAAATGCATTCATAAAGGCGGGACATATTCAATATTTCTAGCAAAATGAAATAATTCGTTATTGTAATTTCACATTTCATTTTTTTATAATTACACCTTAAACCTGTCTTTTTCTTTATAAACAAGAAGTATCAAAACGTATACTCGAGGACAATTAAAATCTTTATTCAATCGCCTTCTAACAATTTTTCTTGGTTTTTTTTTCCAGTTGGAGGAAATTATTATTAGTAGTAGTAGTTTCTCTTAGAAATATTTGATGTTCATTCTATTACGAATAGTTCAGATTAACCTTTGATGCAAAGGTGTTGTCTCAGAAAGGACTTAAAGATGGATTCCCTCAGCTTAACTTCCTAGAGAGCAATTAAACTTGTGTACCCGTCATATATTTCCTCGCCCGGAACTTCATCTTTCCAATTACTTTACTCGTCTACTAACACATTTATTTGCTCTTTTTTTCAATTAATCATCTCTTCATTCATTCATCCACTCATTCAGCGTTTTATTCTCTTTTTTTTGTTCTCATTCAGTTATTGAGTTTACCTAATAACAGAAAACGTGTTATTCCTCTGCGAATCTTAGCTTTCAACCCCAATTTCCCAACTGTGACTCAGACAGTATAGCTGAAGCTAGCCAAGTATGATATCGAGAACAGAAACCGGGAAAAATCTCTCGCCAGCACGAGATGTCGATTTTTTTAATTTTGTCTTTGAATTTTTAACTAAAACAGACCGGGTGGAAGAAAAATCCTTTCAATTCAATCTCAATTCCCTCCACTCCTCTCTTCCCCATCCCTGTGACAAAGAAGTGTTCCATACAACACAGTAAGTAACAAGTTCCACTGTGTAGAGGAGGGGAGGGGAGGGGGTAGCACCACTGATATTATGTCGCATAGCGCAGTGCCAGAGGGCATAGTTTTTGAGCCGTTTTGGTCTGCAAGCGGGTTTCAACTAATTCGGCAATCATAGTCATAGATTAGATATGGGAACCACTAGCTGCGTATAAATGTGCTTCTGTCGTCAAACTCAAATGAATAACTGAAGAAAAATTGATATCCAAAACATTCATTCAATCAAGCATTCAATTCATTGATTTTTTTAATAACTTTCGTTATGTTTTGACCTCGGCATTGAAGTGGAGCTTAAACATACTACAACAAAGCTTAGTGGTTTTTTAATTACAGCTTTTAGAAGCCATGTCCAAAAGGAAATGAAATGTAGAGACTAGAAGAAGAAATTGACAAATTTGTAAAAATAAAACGATTTGCTCACCGCATCAAAGAAACCCAACAGGGCAACCAGTTTGAGGAATGCTTTCCCTCGTGAACATATTTTCTTAAAATTTTGCCTGCAGCTTAATTGGAGTTAATAATAGCGAAAAGTTCAACATTCAAAACGACTAACTTTTTTTAAAGTGATGATTTATGACTCATTCAGTCAACAGGTCCACAGTCAGCCACGAAAAATGACTAACGACTTAGGGAATCCAGTATATGATGAAGCCTAAATATGAACTTTCTTGCCAACATCTTCATCAGTGAAGTACAGTTATATGACCCAGGGAATTGTTCCCATTTAAACTATTTCAAGGTTGTTTAAAATTCTTTGGATGATTGGAACCTTACAGACTGGCAAAAACACATGTTGGCGGCATAAGTAAATATGAATTACATGGCTGATTTTTGTGTATATCCAGCGACAGCAAGGATACCCTTCGAAAATTGTTATATGAAAAAAACAATCTAAGCTATCTTAAGCTTACGACATGAAACTCGATTCGGCTACACAACTTTCTTCCTATTTGAATTCACGACTCATACACAAGAGTGGGTGTGCAGCTCGAACTAGGAGCCCGAGTATTTAATGCCGTCCGACAAAGTTACACAGAGTAGTAAACAACTAGTTATCACCTTTCGGGCTGAAACGTTTAGAGTGCCGCCGCCTGATACGAAAACCCAAAAACCCAATGGGAAAATGAGAACGTCCCACCGAAATACAGGCGCACCGAGCTCTGGGCCGAGTTAGAGGTAAAACAGCTTAATTACATGCAAGATAAAACTTAACATGCTGACTTGGAAAGTTTGAGAGCTGAGATGAATACATTACAAATGTCAAACTTTAAATACACCATACAACAAAGGACTCAATTAAAGTCATAGCGGCCCACGTGCCAACATACTAATAGGAAAATATTTAAATTCTTTGTCATTGCCACTTACAGTTTAGTTCCGCCGATTGTAAATACATTTCTACGATCGCCAGTCAATGTCACGCCTCGTTCGATACTAAGCTTTTATTTCTAGAATGTTCTTTTAGCATAAATTCTTGTGACTAAAAAGAGAGCTTTCTCTCAGGCGTTGAAAACGTTTTTCGTTCTGACTCAGGACAACAATCCTTTATGGGATCTCAGTCTCTTGCCCGAACACACCACGTGATCGACATTTCATTGTATTGATCTGAATTGGGAAGAAGGTCTACAAGATCTGTAAATTGATGTCTTTCGTGGCACACCTCACCTAAGGATTTGAAAAAACCTTGGATATCTCTTAATTATTCTGTACGTGTCGCCGCCTCTTGCTTCGCCACTTCCAACCAATCAATCTCCAGTTAGTTTTAGCCTGCGAGAATTCGATTGCTGCCATCTCATTCAAGCAATGTGGCAAAATAAACTAGATTCGACATCCGCAGTGGTGGCCAAAGTTTGAAAAAATTTTTCTGTGGCAACAAATGTGACTAAGTGCTTGTATGTTTTATTTTATGAACATTTATTATCCATCGAAACGATAGTGTCACAATTCCAAGTAGTTAATCACGTATTTATCGCATTTTTGTTGAACTCCCAAAACATTTGCTTGTAACGGCGTTATAAACGACAACAGAGTTGATTAACCCTTGTACGATATGTCTGGGAAACCAAATAAAAGCTCCCGCTTGATTTTTAAGTCGAACAACATCCGATCTATTCGTGCACGTTGATCAATGCCAGAAGAGTGCTATCCCTGATCAATCCAGCTTGTCCATTGCTCATTAGAAGAGAAACTCGATATTCATTACAAGCTAATTCATCATAATTTAATGTGTGTGTGATTCAGTTGCGATTTTCTTAAAACAAAGCAAATACATGTCAGACTGGCCGCCAACCTGGAATTTTTTTTTTTAACTTTAGCCTTGCCATTACAATTTTCTTTTCAGACAATTCAAAAAAGTTTTTTAGCCCTTGCAAACACTACGAACATCTTGCTACTTTAAAAAAAGGCAACATAATTGGGCGACGTACTATAAAAGAAAGCTTGATATATATTATATTTGCTCTACTTGAGCGAGACCCTCATATTACAGTCATGAATAAATTATCTTCATTTAAGATAAAAGGTCATGGTTTGTTCATTTCCCAAAATTCACCTTCTTTCTATTTGCTTTTTCCTGTAAGCCAATCCTTTTGGGATCTGCTTTATTCTTAGATAACAAAGGATCTAAAAGTCGTCAATGGCAAATGACAATTAGATAACTGTGCAGGGTTCAGATAAATATTAACCGTTTTTAGGGGCATCTTCGAGAGTAGTAAACGATGCGTTCTGCCAAAACATTATTAATGAACAATAACATTATTGCCCTAGTCACGGTTTGATAAGCAACTCATTCGAATCTTTGAGTCATTTTCCAATTCAACTTCATCTCATTTTACTTTTAAGGTGCTATCAGTTCTTTTTAACAGCCGTTATCCATGGCCACTGCTGCACCAATCTTCCATTCTTCAAAACAGACGGCTAATTATGCTCGGTTATGTCCCCTTCTGGTGAATGTGTGTTCATCACAAGTTCTCAGAGAGACTTTTGACAAGAATCGTCCAACAGGAAACCTGGACGCAGTTTTTTCAAGTTCTCCAGTTCATAAAATGCTACAATCACTTCGAAAGAAAAAAATACTCAACCCTTCATAATAGGGCAGACTGAACCCTGCCATCAAGTCTTCGGTTTCAACTCAGCATTTTGATATCACCTTGCTAATGGTTTTGTTGAGGAACATTTTTGGTCTTGTTCCTCCGGCCACGGGATGGGATACACTTCCTCCTGCAGCAGACACAACCCTTCAGGCAGACATTGTACGCATCAAGTGCTACAGAAACACAGTTTATGGTCATGCCAGCCAGGCCTCAGTTGATGACCCAACATTCAGTCAGTACTGGCAGGACTTCCAAGATGCCCTGGTGAGACTGGGAGGACCGGGTTACCAAGCTGCTATTGATGATTAGAAAAAAGAGTGCATGGACCCTGATTTCTAGGAACACTACAAATAGCTTCTGAAACAATGGGTAAAGGATCAGACCAGCATCAAAGAGAAGTTAGAAATAATTGAAGAAAAATCGGATGTCATAAAAGATACGTAAACATTCATAAATCCAGCGACAAGAGTAAACATTGAAGGTAATGAAACCAACAGCATGTACCGTAGAAAATTTAGATGAGAATCTCATAACCCCCAGTCAAAACTAATATGATCCCAAATGGTAACATATTAGAGCCTAAGCCTATCTCATCATTCTCGGTAGAATCCATTACGAAAATAACAAAAATAGAACAGCAAATGTAAAAAATAAAAACAAAAACAAAAAAGACAATAGAGTGAAGACTTGTTTAACTCCCACTTACTCTCTTCGAGGGATATTTCTATTACAGGAAAATAGCATTGATTTGTAATTTGAGTAACACGAGGTCTCTTTTCTGCTTGACATGTCATTAACAATTGCTCGCTTTTTAAAGTGGAAAGCTTTTTTATAACGTATCTCGTATTCTCCAGTTCACACCTTGGAATTTTCTTATCTTCAGTTGTAAATTCCCACAGCAGTGCGCTCAAAGAGTCCATCAAAAGCCAGACGAAGTTTCAGACCAATCAAATGCCCTTTTCTTCCATTTCCCACGTGAAAACGGATGAGATATTTACTACTCATACAAAATGGACGGAAGCCTGTTGAAGACCCCAATATCTTGGATGAACACCTTTCTCAGCCCGACTTGGTGACTGAAATACCGGACAGATTGAAACGTCTTCGTCAGTACGGTCAATTGAGTGGAACTCGAATGAAACACAGTCAAGACATATTAATTCATCCGCCATGAGATTCACACCGATGATTTAAATCTCAGGTCTATTAGTCATTCTCACTGGAAAGGCAGGAATTGGAAAGACCTTGTTTTGACAAAAGGTGATTCGAGATTGGGCTCACAACAATTTGTTTAAAGTGCAAGAGAGTGAACAAACCCCTGATTTCAAGTTTGCTTATTTGCTGACTTTCGGTCAATTGAATTTACAAGGAAATGACCGCGTTTCTTTAAAGGACGTCTTAAATTGTTCGTCAGTGCTAGATGACCAATCAGTGATTGACGATTCTTTATTGGAGTATATTGTTCATCATTGTGAAGAGGTTTTGATCATCATCGACGGGTATGACGAGTATTAACAACAAGATGACATCCTGACTACCCCGGATGACAATATCCTAATGACGTCAACGACAAGATGCCAGTAGCAGCTCTGTGTGCTAAAGTTATCAAGGGGAAAATCTTGAGACGTTCAGCAGTTAGGGAGAAGCAACGAAATAAAAGTGAGCCATCACTTAAAGGGATGAGAACTGTTGAAATTAAGGAGCTTGTTCAGATCCTCCTTATCATGACATTCTGGAAATTGTAGTGGTTCATACATAGGCTTACTGCCAAATGAGGAAACAAATAACGTATCTGACTCAAGTGGTTTGTACTCACCGAAAGGACAGGAAGAGGATGTTTTCAGCATGGCAGGAATTAAGGGAGGCTCAGAACCTTGTGTGGAACAGCCTAAAATTATGCAAAACAGGGCATCACCACAACCTTCCATGATGTCAGCTTCCTTTCTGGATACCCATAGACCACTTTCATAAATGGCTGCCGGATTAATATTCTTTTTTTAAAATTTAAATTAGCCCTACTGGCCTCGTTCTCCAGTACAAAATTTAAAAGAATACATTATCTCAAGCGAAGCCAGAAGGGTTAATTTAAATTGAAACAAAAGAATATTTATGCGGCAGCCATTTATGAAAGTGGTCTATGCAGATGGGAAAACCCAAGGTGAAGGTGAAGAACAAAGTTCAGATAGCACTTGTCACTATGTGAACTTACCAGAGCAGATGAGTCTGATAAGTTGAAAGATGCAATTCGCTTTGATTAATTGTGGAGATCACAGGATTTTCAGGAAAAAAAGTTAACGAACACATTGGAAAGTACTTTAAAGACAACGAGCAGATGAGGAAGATTGTACTTGATCACGTGACAAGAAACGATGAACTCGTTAGCTTTGCTCACGTTCCTGTGCTGTGTTTCTAATGTGCTGCTATTTTGAGTATATACTAAAGGAGTCAACAATGAACACTGATAGTCTCCCCCTCCAAATGAGCGACCTTTATTTTGAAGTTGTAAACAGTTTTGTACGAAAACATGACAAGAAAAGAGGATTTTCTCCCAAATATACACTGGATAAGTTATCCATCTTAGCGGCTCAATTGCTTCTAGAGAAAAAGTTTCTTTTTGTTAACGAAGACATGAAAAACTTTATTTCAAATGAAATCACGTACATCAAAGCAAGTGGGCTACTACATTGTGGTCCTCCTTTCAGGATATTTTTTTCTCAATAGTTAATCGAGGGGAATGGTTCCCCTCGATTAACTATGCTCAATCGACAAAGCATTTGTGCTTTATCCACTTCACTCTCCAAGAATACTTGGTGGCTCACTGGTTTGTCAAGAGAAAAGAGGTTCCTTGCAGAAAGAATTCATCCAAAATGGTCATGAAATTTATGGCCGGAATTTTATCAAAAGGAAAAGATCAAGAATTTATGGAAAAATTACTCGGAGGGCTCAGTGCAAAACTTGTTAAAGACAAAAGAAAAAGCCAACGCCCTCTCCTTTAATGGCGGAGTGTCTCGCTGAGTACGAAGACAAAAAGTTTGCCCAGCATTTCGTAAGAAATTGTCACACTCGATTCTCTCCTTCTGGGAGAATTTAATTTCATTCATTCATTGATGTTGACTGTATTGCAGTATCGTTCCTCTTGGATGTTTTCAGTGCGATCAATGACGAAGATGTCGTAGAAAAGGATGACATTGAGGACCACATTGGATCTGAGTGATAATCAGGTCACTGATGTTAGCGTTGTTAGTCTATGTCAAGCATTACAGGCACCAACATGTGAAGTCACCCAACTGAGTCTGGATAATAATAAGATCACCGATGCTGGTGTTGACAGTCTATGCCAAGCATTACAGACAGCAACATGTGAAGTCACCCAACTGAGTCTGGATGATAATAAGATCACCGATGCTGGTGTAGTCAGTCTATGTCAAGCATTACAGGCACCAACATGTGAAGTCACCCAACTGAGTTTGGGTAATAATGAGATCACCGATGCTGGTGTAGTCAGTCTATGCCAAGCATTACAGACAGCAACATGTAAACTCACCAGACTTGATCTGGATAGAAGTCAGATCACTGATGCCGGTGTTTTCAGTCTATGTCAAGCATTACAGACAGCAACATGTGAAGTCACTACACTATATTTGAATGGTAATCAGATCACTGATGCCGGTGTTTTCAGTCTATGTCAAGCATTACAGACAGCAACATGTGAAGTCACTACACTATATTTGAATGGTAATCAGATCACTGAGGCCGGTGCTGTCAGTCTACGTCAAGTATTAGAGAAAGTCAATTTTGAAGTATGTGATGTGGCCGGTGGTCCTCGTATATATCGATGCATAACAAATCTGTGAAAATAGAAAAAAAAAGATTTTGGACCATTTTAATGCAGAGTGGTCTGGATGGAAATGAAGATAAGAAGCCATACACTGTGTTTATATCATGACATTTACTTCACGCCTCTACAACAAAAGTAAATATGAATGTGTTTCTAAACGGTATGGTACCGTCCAAAACTTTGTTTAATTTGCAACTAATGATTACTTCTGAATCTATAACAGGGAGCATTTTAAAACTTATTCTGCTTTGTGCACTGGTCGAATAAGTACAGGAAGGAAAAGTAAATTAGCTTAATATCTTGGGAATAAAAGGGCTAACGTCAATTTGAACCTGCTGAATCAATAACGCATGGCTAAGAAATAATTATTTCCGTGGAGAAATTTAGATGATATCATCTAGCCGCGCCGGTAAAGACATTAAGCAATTATTGGACGAGGTTGAGCATGTTAGCGTGAATCATCAAAACCGATGTCTGAGTCATCTTCCGAAGCCGAACACAGACACGAAGTTTCAAGAATAGAGCATTTTATAGTTGTGTACTTAGTTGCCAAGCCTTTGATTTATAGTGAGGCTGAAGGTGACATTGTTGTGATAGAGACCTGTATCTGGTTAGCATGATAACAAAGAAATTTGCCTTTGAAAAGCAGCAACATCTGTATCATAACAAGGTCACCCTTAGCCTCACTCCTGTTCAAAGGCGTGGCCATCAAGCTCACAACTGTAAAAAGGACTATTCGCGATCTCATGCGAAAACCGAAAAAAATATAATTGTTTTATCATACATTATTCAAACAATTTGCAGAAGAAGACACTCATCTGATTTGGAGACATATTGAACGCCCTTTTCATCAGCTGTTGTTTAACCGTCCGTGCCGGGGGCGGGGGGGGGGGAGGATTTAAACCTTGCCTGGCTGGGGCGGCAAACTTGAACCTAAAGAGTCAAGTCTTTCCAGCGAAATGCAAGTGTTGTATCTTTAAACGAAGCGGCGTCTAAAAGGAGCATTTCAAAACTTAAAGCTTGGTCAATGTGGAGAAATTCACGGTCGCTGATTTTTCATTTTACAAAAAATTGGGTAGGGTAATTGAACACGTTTTTTGCATGTTAATCATCCGTTCAACTTTTTAACTCGCAGTAAGTTAGGCTTGATTTGAAACAATTAGTTTCATAGGCCACGGAATCTTGGGAAATATCGATCAAATACTTTGCGACATGATTTAGATGAGAGTCATCTGAATGCGATATCTTGAATGCTTTAGTTTTCCTTCAAGAAGCGCAAACCATAATCGTAAAACGACACATGCAAATCTGCCATCGAAGTGCATAACATGAGCGACCCTGAAAATAAATATATCTTATTATAATTAGACGTTTTGTTGTGTAGTATCGCTGAGTATTTTTACGAGTTGTGCCGTATTTTGACGAGCCCGTAGGGCGAGCCAAAATAAAAATAACGAGTAAAAATACTCAGCGATACTACACAACAAAACGTCTAATAAGTTATTTATTATCCAACACGCCAAACTGTTATTTCAGTGCGGGTGAATTTCGCGAATATTTATTTACGGGGAGTGCGTGACAGAACTATACGAAGCGGAACGGAATTGGCGCGTTGTTGTGATGCTGTTTCTATTTTCTTCATCAAATGAAGAAATTTTCTGGTCGTCAAGCTGTTTTTCTTCGTTCGATTCATCTAATGAACTTGCATCTATATTTGCCAGCCATTCTGACTCTTCGTCGTCGGAAATATGATTCAAATAGTCCGCCATTTGTTTTTTTTTTTCGTAACTACATTCCAATTCTTCGCTTGCGCGATGTGAGAAAACCTGTTTAACCGGTACTACAATAGACGAGTACAAATACCGCGTGATATTTGTACTCGTCTATGGCGTTATTTGTACTTGTCTAGGTGTAGTTGGATAATAATGCACCGCACTCACTCTTAAGTCCCGGATTGATCTCCTTGGAGATCTTTTTAGTCTCACCAAGTGAGCGATCACGATGCTCAGTTGGAATTATGGGAAACGTATAGTTTGATAATGACTCGGAAGTCAATATGATAGCTTTTCATTTGTCGTAAAAACCTGATCGCGAAAAGATTAACCCTCACGCCGAGGAATTATGTCATCCTAAAATAGATTTGATATTGAATTCTCTTTGTTTCACTCTTCACTGAGAAATTATATTTGTACGTGTAAAATCGTCTATTTATTTCTTCTTATTTATTTTTCTGGTTAACCAAGCTTTTGACTCCGATTTCCGGAATCTAGTTTGAAACGTGATATAAATATTATGGTTATATATGTGATCATGTGGGGCAAGCAAGCCACTGGCATGATATCGAAAATAGAACAGGGGAAGTCCTTCGGGATAAAGAGATGCTGGTGTTTTCATTTCCCTCTCCCCCAGAAATATCTATCATAATGAATTATCAATGAAAGAGACTTAAAGAAGCAAGATCCATTCTTGTCAATCAGAAATTGCTTTCCCCTTGACAAGTGCTCGATGGTATTTACGCCATCGAGCTGTAAACATGTAACGCGCTCGAAAGTTGGGGGATGGCGAGGAATATTTGCAACCTCAGTCTGTATGGTTTTTGGGCCGTTTGGCCTACAAGAGCGGACGAATTTTGATCACGGGTACTAATACGTTGACACGATGGCGTGTTAAGGTATCAGTACATTCCGGCTCCAAATGAAATGAAGAGAAGTAACCAAAATATATCATTCCAGCGGAATTTTCGATTTAATTTCACTCGGCAATGCTTTATCGACTTCGGTACGATTCTCCTGGTGAGAGGTTACGGTTACACGAAGGCTATGGCAAATGACGAGAGACTGCCTGCGCAATTTTTCGGTATATGATCGTATAACTGTCTTTTTTTTATATATATATATATATATATGTGCGCAATCGCTTTGCCTACTTTTTGCAAAAAGTAGAACAGATCTTCATTCGCTGATGCGTGCACTTATAAATTATGTTGCCCCTTCCATAGTCAGGGTTTTCTGCAAATACATGTAACCTTTAAATGATCTTTTTATTTTAATTGAAACTAATTGTCATTAATTTTTTTTTCTGTAACAGCGACCGCAGGTGTGAGCAATATAAGAGGAAATTTGCGTCAACGATTGGCATAATGTAAAAGCCATAGAAAAATGTCATCCGTGACACAGTTTCTTAGCTGCAAATTAATCATGAGAGCAGGTGGCCATCATTTTGTTTATCCGTAGGCAGATGCGGGGCTGAAGGAAGCTAGTACGAGCGCCTTCTTTTAAGTAAATTTTTTAGCGTTGCAAATATAAGGAAAATAGAAAAGCTAGAGTACTTTGAGCTATAGAAGACTTTGAACCATAACAGAACAATATTTTGGTGAGGAAGAGTAGGGACATTTCATGATCCTTCCTAAAAATGGACTTTTCCAGATGCTGCATTGCGTGCTCTCCTCCCGAATCACGTTTAGCAAGTCGGTGAAGGATACTTCCTCAGAAGTATATATAGCTCATAAATGTACGTGTTCTAATCAAGAAATTTGTCAGGAGTAGGGAAATTTCATGATCATTTCCTAAAAATGGACTTTTCCAGATGCGTGCTCTCCTCCCGAGTCACGTTCAATAAGTTGTTGAATTGAAGGATACTTCCTCAAAAGTATATCTAGCTCATAAATGTAGGTGTTCTAATCAAGAAATTTGTCAAACATTTGGTGTGAGCGCGCGTAGGACGACAAATAAAGATCACTAGGCGGGTATATGGAGGGAGTGCCTACGTGTAAAGCTACCAGCTTTCTCTGCTAAACTCAGCATTTCCCTCGCGCCTTACATATCATCATGCTATTTAATTCGAAAATAGCTTTTGTGAAGTGAAACTGTTATGATTGACCCCTGATTCTCAAATGTACTTCCCTATTTTTGCAAAACTCTCTTATTTTACATCAACAACACTTTCGTGTTGTGAATAAACTTGAACAAACAAAAAACGTCATTTCAAGAATGAATCTTTTATAAATTTGGTCAGAATAGCGTAATGAATCAGATTCAACTTTTATACTTGCTATGTAATACAAGGTAAACCATTTCGAGAACAGTCAGGAAAAGTGTAAAAGAGTCAGTGATTGACGATATTCATTTCGTTCCCTAATGAAAATATAGTTTGCCTTAATTTGTACAATACTTAGCAGTAGGCACAGAGTTTTTCAACTGACAGATTTTCTACTCTTGCGAAGTAACAAACATTTGATCGTCGTGTCAAAGAGACTGGCGTCTGTCGGTAAATAAAACGCCTTCTGTAGTACAAATATAATTCTACACCTCCCCTGTTTCCATTATCGCCAACAAATTTATATCTCACTTTTGGATTGTAATCCGGAATGCTAAAGTAAAATAAAACAAAGCTGGCTTGCCGTTTATTTTCCTTTCTGTGGAATGCCGAAAGCTCTGAATCTGATTGGCGCAATTGACATCTCCTTTGTTTATGTTGACACAGTAAAACCATCGTTGTTTGTATATAGATTTTAAACTAAACTTCGAATTATCAGTCAAACCGGGCAAGGTTCAACATCGGTCACGACTGAGATGTTAATGAAAATATCATGATGCCGGCGAGCTCTCTAAACCTTGAGAACTCGAAGTACTTCTCCGGAATCGAAGGCTAAGCGAGCAATTTTAGAAACAGTTTTAAAATGGAAGAATGCAATAACTCTTGTACTAATCAAGATTTTCGTGAGTATCAGTTTATACGCAAATCGCCTCGTCACTGGTACGTGTTCTTGTGCATAGCGAATGTTGTTCTTTCCATTTCTGCGATTGTTGGAAACTCTATAATCTTAATCGCCCTTTTCCAGTGCCGCACGATTTACTCGTCTTCCAAAGCTCTTTTTTACAGCTTGGCTTTGTCTGATTTTGGAGTTGGCTTGATCGCACAACCGTTGCAAGTTGCTACAGGCTTGGGCGCTCTCCGTGGTAATCTCGAATTATTTTGTTCAGTTCAACCGTTTTACGCTGCAGTGGCCTACTTCTTCTGTGCCGTGTCTTTTACAACAACGACAGCAATAAGCATTGAAAGATACCTGGCGTTGAGACTCGGAATGCAATACAGATTGATAATAACCGTGAAAAAAGTCACTCTGGTTGTAGCACTCCTATGGATATGCAGCGCTATCTGGGCGATCTCCCGAATGTGGAATATCAGAATCAATAAAATCAGCGCCATAATTCTCGGCTTTTCTTGCATTGTCATAACGTCTTCATGCTATTTCAGAATATATCGCACTCTGAGGGCTTTAAGAACAAGAATATCAAACGAAGCTTCCACAAGGCAACCTCGATATACTTTGAACATGATGCTATACCGCAGATCTGTGAACAGTATGCTAGCAGTTTTCGGTTTGCTTTTAGCATGTTATACTCCTTATCTTTGTGCAATAGTTGTAGTGGCCTGTTTGGGATATAGCTCCACAGTTGTGTTGGCAACAAATCTAACATCAATGGTGATTTTTCTTAATTCTTCTATAAATCCTTTTGTCTACTGTTGGCGAATTAGAGAAATTCGTTTTAAAGTAATGCTAATTGTTCGGAAATTGCCTTTACCTTAACAGCAGGCTTAAAACATCTTGTCAGCTAGATTAGTCATCAATTTTTCATTCTGGGTGACGGCTCAGTCACTTCTCAGTTCTATAAACAGAAAAAGATAATAACTCTTAATGTATTCTTTTAGCAAAGTTGATTTTCGGGTAAATTTCCATACGGGAGAATTCTTGACAATGTTAATATTCTTAGCTTAGTTGGAAAGATTTTATGATAAACTCTGGACTCACTGAAACGTAAGCTATATTTTCTCGTATTGCCTGTTAACACTTGTACAGCATGATTAGTAAGCATGATTTTATCGCAGTTAATTAGCAGGCCCCGGCAGCAATTTAAGCGGTCGGATGTTGCTTGCGTGGGAATTAAACAGATTGTGAAAACACGAACCAACCAAGGTGTCATCTTTCTTATATTGGGTTGCACTGTGTTTAACAAGGGTTTCCTTTATGTTATAAAATGAAAATAAAAAAGTCTCACTTTCTTTGTTTAAAGATATAAGGTTTAGCCCTGAGGTCGTATGACTCTTCGGCATTGGTCCTTAAGACATACGGATACTACGCCGAACTGAACAAACCCATTTGACTATTTCGAGAGTTTTTATTTGAGATGTTTGTTCCAGACATCATGCCTTAAAATATCATGAATATGATAATTTTTTGGTTTAATGCTTGACTTATTCTAAGGCAAAGAGTATTTTGATGATTTCATCTTCTTAAGATCCACAAGAAATTTCAATATTTGATTTTTGACAACCGCTGTTAATATAACAATGAATGAATGGCGCACACTCGAAGGAATGTTTTTAGTCGGGATTTTGAACTGATTTTGCACGATGTCGGACGTTTTGTTCGCAATATTCGCCTCTATCAGCAAGTGTAATGGAGTAAAACGATAATAGAACATTTCGTAGCGTCTTTTTAATATCTCCAATGTATCATGCGCTGACTTTAAAAAGACTTTCGCCTCAGATCTCTCTAATTCTCGTCTGTACTCTTGCGGTAGCTCTTCAACTTTGGGCATTGATGGAAATATGGAGACTTATTGTAAGTACTGATATTTCTTTTCTGTTTCTTCCCGAATCTGCTATATTGTTTACCCACAAGTTTTCTGAATGACGTGTTTTTACTTCATCAGATAAACAAAGAAAAAAAAAATTGTTTAAACCTTGACATCTCAGCTGCTCAAGAATATTACCCGGCTAGGCTGCACTGTAACCGAGTGGGTCTGGTAACTAGTGCCAAATAAAATGGCGGTGAAGGAGGACGATAATTCGGTGACATACAGCTTGGATCATTTTACCGAGCTCAAAGAAGTAACATCATTGATCGAATCAATAGGAACGATATGTCATGATAATATTTTACTCGAGGCTGCAGAGGAGCGGTTAATTCGTAAGTGCGGCATGTTTTCTTTCCTCCTTGTTTTCTTTCATTTACCAAGTTGTTTGTGAGTATGTTATTAACTGCTAGCCTCAGCCTTCCGTCCAAAATTATCTTAACCACTGGCATAACAAAAAACGATTAATTTTCAGTTATATTGAATAAGTATCAAGAGCAGCCGCATTTGTTGGATCCGCATTTAGGTAAGTAGTTTAAATTGGGTTTTAAATCAGCTCTGAGTTATGGTAATCTTAATGTATAGTGTTGTACAATGTTGTAAACTATGTAATACATAATTATACTCTTGAATTGCGATTTTTTTATTTTAAGAAAATAAGGATATGTTCTTTACCCGAGCGTTGCTTGGACTATTTTCTTAACTAGGAAATCCCCATCATTCCTATCATAAAAGTAGTAAACTTTACCTCACTTTACATACAAGTAAACAGTGTACATTTAGCTAATGATGGGAACTATAGATGTTGACAGAAATAAATGACTGAAAATAAAACAAAAATTTGTATTCAATTTTCAACTTCTTTTGAAATTTGTTTGGTGCAAAACTGTGCATCACAGTTATGTGGTTTTTGTCTTCTAGAAAGCCTTGTAAAGAAATTACAACATATCGTCTGTAATGCATCAAATCTAGCTAGAGTGATTCAACAGGCATTCAAATATTTATATTTCATCACCAAGGTTTGTTTCCAATTGATTGTGCATTTAGATACCATTTGATACAATGAACTGTTTGCCTTCTGAGACTATTATAGCTGTATGTGGTCACAAGTGAACATTATATAATACATAGATAACACACACAACACGCAGTTCCTGTAATAGCCCTGGTGAAGGACTAATGCTCATCAGCTTTAGAAACTCTTTTTGTGGCCAATTCACATTATCAACTCAGTTGATAAAACAAAATTACCATGTTGAACCTCTCATGTGCAGTATGCATGATATCAACTGGCAAAGTTGACTGGAGCAATTGGGTTGCAATATAAGACAATTGTTATTGGACTTTAAATTAGTACATTTGTAGGATACAAAGAATGCGGTTGTACCGTCAATAAATACATTTGCTGGTTGGTAATATGATAGGTTTGAGACCAGCTATAATTGCAATCCAATGTGCAGTTGATGTTGTAGTCTCAATTAGAGGTCAAGGGGCTAGCAGGTCCCCTTGTTGCTTATTTCTGTCAAGCTTTGAAAATAGGGTATTCCTATTGGATTTTTATTTCACTGTATTAAGGGTGAATCCTATACTCATTTTGAGTGGATCTTACCTAATATGATCTATTGGAAGACAAACACATAGGTGTGATCACCACTAGTAGCATGTATTCCATTCTTTAATTTTTTCATTTGCTTTCAATAAGGTCAGGGGACCTAAATATGTGGTACGACTGTTTTCTCATGAAGTTACTGATGTGGAACCACTTCTTAGAATGCTGTCTCAGCAAAATCCTCAAGATCATGAGGTGTATAATCTTTACCTTTTTCTTGCTAGTTATGTTATTGCCTTATATTTTATAAATTACTATTGATAATACCTGAGTGTACACACGACACATACAAGTTGATAATTACCATGCCTCCATCACTTAGCAGGGCTTGACACCAACTTTTCAACTTACTAGCCAAGTGGCTAGTGACAATTTAGATGAACATTACAACAATTTCAGTTTGTTTACTGGCTGTGGAAATCGAAAACCACTAGCTAAAACTGAATTTCTACTAGTCTGTGGCTAGTTGACTACCGTTAGTCAAGCCCTGACTTAGTGAATATAATATAAAGTTTAAAATGATTCAGTTCAAAAGGATTTTAACTACTATTTCCATTAATTTTGTATTTTTCTATGTTCCTAAAAATTTTCTTTTCTTAAGCAAAGAAAAATGCAAATCAACCCTTTTTTAGCTTGTGATCCATTTTAACTTGCATCATGCAAATTTGTGTACAGTACATTCGTGTACTGTGGCTTTCTAAAATCTATCATTTTATCTTTTTTTCTTGCCACTGTGATTCATGATCTTTAGATGATCTTTAGATTAATATGATTGTGATGTATATTCTTAACCTCAGACCTGGGAGACACGCTATGTTCTTCTACTGTGGTTGTCTATTGTTTGTATGATACCCTTTGACATGGCTCGCTTTGATGGGTTAAGAAAAGCCTCTGATGAAACACAGGAGAGATGCAAGCCTGTGGTGGAGAGAATTCTTGAAACTGCAAAGGCAAGTGGGATAGACTTTAAAGTAGTTAGTGTTGTACAGCTGGTTTTATTTTTGTTAAATGCCTACTCTGTTTCCAACTGTAATATTTTTCATTTGTTTTTCTTCACTGCAGATGTATCTTTCAGTTCCAGACAAATCAAGAGATGCTGCTGCATTAGTGATTTCAAAGTATGTTAAGTAGATCTGAACAACAATTTAATCTCTGTAATATATGTTTAAGGTTTATTTTAAGTACTACTTGTATCCTCCACTTTTTGATAGGTTTGTTACAAGACCCGATGTGAAGAAAGAAAAGTTGGCAGAATTTCTTGACTGGTGTTTAATAAGGATGGAGAAAGCAAATGGTTTGTACCTTGATGCATCATGGTTACAAAACTCATGTACAATTTAAACCACATGTTGCAAAGTTCATTGAGCTAACTAAGGGCTAAAACCTCATCGTCCGATGGGAATGTCAGACATTCAAATTAATATAATGTTGCGCTTCCTCTGAACTCTTTTCTATTTAGAGAACTCATTTAAAAAGATTGCCCCTTATAATTCTCTCTTGCCAGGTGAAACAATGGATGGAATGCTGTTGCTGACAGGAATCTTGACAACATTGGTCTGTTAAAATTTTCACAGACACATATAGCATGTTTATTACTAGGCAGTAGAGCTCAGAGAATTTTGTGGCTCATGTGCAGAATTCTCTGCATTTATTTCTTTGGCCTTTGCTATTTTTTACTCAGACATGGAGAATAAAGTCCTGTTACTTTACACCTGTTCTTACAGTACATTTCTCAATTAAAACTTTGAGTATATCGTGAAGAAATTCACAAAATCCTATTGGTGTGTAGAATACTTTTAACTGAATCTCCACAAATATCATAATTCAAATTTGAGAGCAAGTAGATATGTTTCAGGTCTGAAGACAAATGGTTTTAAAGCAAACCTTGCCAGAGGAAAATCTGCAGGAGTTCAGGCCCTTACCCTACCTGCATTTCATGTTGCCCTTCCACTGACTCATTGATTGACTGATTGATTGATTGATTGTTACCATTATAACACCATGTGATAACATCTCATTTTTGTTATGTCACTTATTTCCTGATTTTCAAGGCCCTGCTTTTCAAGCATGGAAAGCGAGATGACTTAATACCATATGGTTAGTATTTAAAGTATTGTTTGGGATGACACAGTACAACAACTTTGTAGGACTCACGTGAATTGAATCAAGGTTTAAGATTATCAAGCAATACTTTACATTATGGTCATTTTTACTTGTTGTTATTGATATTTTAGATTATTATTAGATGTGTGTATGTGAGTATATGTTTCATTACATCCATTTTGAAATCACTGGTGGTCCCTGTAATCTGGTTGGCTCTAACTGGTGCGATTTATTCTCAAATCGCACCATTTTTTGCTCTAAATCACATCATTTTATGCTTGACTGAGTTTATGACACATGACGTCAAAGTCTTTCTGTTTTGCATACAAAATAAGCTGTAAAAGCATTTCCTGTTGGACCACTTTTTATTTAAAAACTGGCTCAGTACTGCATCAATGAAATATTTGAATTTACCAAGTCCTGTATTTGGGCGATTTCAAATGGATGTAATAAAGTAGTAATTGAACTGAGTGTCATGCAATTTTGGTCTGAAATCATACTTGTGATTTTAAATCGAACTTGTGCTGCGCGCTCATGCGATTTTGAAATCATGCGTATGATTTCAGCCCAAATTGCACTCCACTCAGTTCAATTACCATTATAAATATCATTAATACTAATC